AGTCCGCGAAGGGAAGGAAGAACATGGACTAGAATCTACTGATGAGAGGGTATTAAATTCCCTGTCGTCATCATGTGATGATGAGGGAAGATACGAAACGGCCATGGAAAGCGATATCTGTGACAATGGAAATATTGAGGAGATATCGATTAGTAAAAAGAAAAAATTGTCCCTGATAGATTCATCTCAAGACCCCGATATCTGTGAAGAAGAAAATATAAAAGCTTCATCTCAAGACCCCACCGTCCAATCTCAGAACTTTGAAATATTCCTTAAACCTGCCACGAAAAAGGAGAAAAAGAAAAAATCTTCAAAAATCAAACTCCACGAAGGCGGTGGTGGTATGGACGATGATGGAACCGATACCCAAAGTGATAGAGAATTTAATTTTTCGTCATGCGACGGTGAAGCGAGACTGGTAGGAGGGACCTCAATGGGAAATGTTAACAATCGACTGGAGAAGAAGAAAAAACGAAAAAGACCACGATCGCCACCACCTGGCGATTCAAGTGCTGCCGAGGAGGAGCAGCAGAATGCCTTGAAAAAATATAAAAAGGCGAAAAAGGAAAAGATTAACAGAAAACAAGAAGAAGAAGCAAATCTTGAACCCGATTTTAGTTCCATGGATGAAAGAGGTGGCACTAGGGGCATTAATTCTCCCACACCGGAAACTATTTGGAAAGTTGTGGAAAATGCCTTTAAAGATTGGCAGGATGATGACGATGTTATGGAGGGAAATAATTCATCAGGGTATTTAAATAAAAAAATTGGATTAAAAGAGAAGGAGGAGGAGGACAATCTTCACAACTTAACAGAACAATTGGTCCCCAAAGAAACCAATTTTATGGAAACTGAAACTTCGACGACATCAACAAATGGTCTCTTGAGACCTCTACGACAAGAAGACCACGTAGAAAATCAGGGTGAAATTTTAAATGAAAGCCTCAAAAAGAAAAAGGGACGACCAAAGACGAAAATTTCTGATGAGGCCAAGGGAGAAGAACCTGAACAACCTACCACAACCATTGAAAGCCCCAAAAAGAAAAAGGGACGACCAAAGGCGAAAATTCCCACTGAGGCCAACGGTGAAGTCCCCGTAGAAAATCAAGATGGAATTTCAAATGAAAACTTTAAAAAGAAAAAAATTCCCGCTGAAGCCAATGGAGGTGAAGAACCTGAACAACCCACCACAACCATTGAAACACCCAAAAAGAAAAAGGGACGACCAAAGACGAAAATTCCCTCTGAAACCAAAGCAGGAGAAGAACTTGAACAACCAAACACAACAACATCCAATAAAACTCCACATTCCAAAAAATCTACTAAAACGAAAACCACTGCCACCGCCGAAAACCCCACCAAAAAACTCAAATTTGACCCCAGGTTTCGGGAAATACCCAAAGAACGTTTAGAAGAATCCCTGGCCATATTAAAAGATAGCGAAAGTCCTGTGTGGGAAGAACGCAACACCTCATGTCGGACTTCGATACATCGGTTTTGGGAAGGTCCCCGTCAAACAATGTGCCGTCAAAGGATACTGCTGAAATATGCCCGACAATATTTGTTGCGCCGTGACTGGATGAATTTGTGTCGGGTATTGTGTCTATCGGCTAAACAGAAAATGCAATATAATACCAGTTATTATCCGCTGTTGGCTAAGGTAGGTGGAAGGAAGGTTACTTTTGAGAATTTTTGAAAAAAAGAAACAATTTTTTTCCTCTTTCCAGTTTGGGGCAATGTGTCTGGCCCACAATGATAAGGAACAATTTGATGCCTTTATACATATGCTATTGAATCTGGATGATGGCAAACGGGTGCTGAAAAAGGTCACTCAAATACCCATACAACAAAGTGATGAGGAATAGGTTATGATTTCAAAATCGTATTCTCCATATATTATAGTTTTTATATAATATTAATTTTTTATATATAATTTTTTTATACAATTTTAATATGTATATTAAATTAGCCTTTTTTGTAGAAAAACAAAAAACACTGTTTTTATGCTAGAGAAAAACCTTGTAAATGAATTTGTTATAAGACTGTATTTTTAAGTATTTTTTAATGTATAAAAACAACAATTAATTGAACTCGGAAGGAAATAAAAAATATGAAACCACATTTTTAGGTTATTTTGAATTTGTAGCAAAACTTCATTTTATGAGATTGAATCCAAAGGAACAAATGTTCTCCAACAAATTTCATTATGGGTCACCAAACAGAAGAAATATGTAGCTATCATATATATAAAGATAAATACCTAAAACAAAATGTGCACCCATTGTGGAGAGATATTTATAGGTTATTTTGAATATGTAGCAAAATTTTCCATGAAACTTCGTCTTAGGAAATTGAACCCAAAGGAAGAAATATTCTTCATCAAATTTCACCAAACATAAGAAATCGGTAGCTATAATTTTATCAAGGTAAATACTTCAAACAAATTGTGTTAGTAAAATGAAAAGTAATTTTAAGGTTATTTTTGATTTGTGACAATTTTTTCCACTAAACACCACTTTAGGAAATTGATTCCAATGTAAAAAATGTTCTCCAACAAATTTCACTATAGGTCACCAAACAGAAGAAATCTGTAGCTATAGTTTATATCAAGGTAAATACCTCAAACAAATTGTGTACCAAATGTGGAGAGATATTTTTAGTTTATTTCGATTTTTGGCTATTCTTTCCACAAAACTTCATTTTACCCAGGTGGCTCCAATGAAAGAAATATTCTTCAAATTTAACTATAGGTGACAAACAAAAAAATCAGTAGCTATAGTTTATATCAAGGTAAATACCCAAAATCAATTGTATGCCCAAAGTGAAGAGACATTTTTAGGTTATGTTAGATTTTTGGCAATTCTTTCCACAAAACTTCATTTTACGCAGTTGGTTCCACGAAAGAAATATTTTTCATCAAATTTCATATAATTATAATATAATTATATCATTTATATCAAGATAATTACCTCAAACAAAATGTTTACCCAATGTGGAGAGATATTTTTTGGTTATTTTCGATTTTTTAAAAAATGTTCAATAATACTTCATTTTATGTGGTTGAGATATAATATATTTCAACACATAATTAATATATTTCAAAATAATTATAGCAAACAAATTTTGTAACTAAAGTAAAAAACCATTTTTAGGTTATTTTTTCATTTTTATCAAAATTTTCCATAATTCTTAATTTTATTGAATTGGTCCCAATGGAAGAAATATTTTACACCAAATTTCACTATGGGTCACCAAACAAAGTAAAGCAATAGATATAATATATTTCAAGACAATTATAGCAAACAAATTTGGTATCTTAAGTGAAGTGTAATTTTTAGGTTATTTTTTATTTTTGTCAAAATTTTCTATAATACTTCAGTTTTATGAGGTTGATCCCAATGGAAGAATTATTCTACATCAAATTTCATTATATGTCACCAAACAAAGGAAACCTATAGCTATAATATATTTCAAGATAAATATAGCAAACAAAATTTGTAACTAAAGTGAAAAACAATTTTTAGGTTATTTTCGATTTTTGAGAAAATTTTCTATAAAACTTCATATTATGGAGTTGGCTCCAATGGAAGAAATATTCTACGCCAAATTTCACTATAGTTCACCACACAAAAGAAATCGGTATATATAACATATATTATGAAATCTAGCATTAACAAATTGAGAACAAATATTTGCAAATCTCCTTATAATTAATTGTTTAATATAATGGCATTACCTTTAGTTTTTTTGAAACCATATTTAAAAAAAGGGACACAAAATATTTATTAAGCTATTATTTCCGTTTTATAATCGTTTTTCTTTTTTATTTCAATAAATTGGTTGCTTAATTAAGGGAGAGAGGAAAAAATATATATATTTATTTATGATATTGTTGTTCGTTAAAAATTAGGTGCAATTATAAAATTACTTTTATTCATTTTAAGGTTATGTTGAAGAAAAAAAGAAATATTACAAAATCGACCAAGAAAATTGTAGAAAAAATATTACATTTTATAAACTAGCATGACAAATATAAAAACATTATTTTAAAGGCAAATTAAAAAAAAATTAAAAATGTATTATTTTTTTAAGAAAATTAATAATTAAATATAAATATCCAACAACTATGGCTTATATATGTAATTGTTAGTAATATAATCAAAATTCACAATAAAAACAATAACATATAGAGCCATACATGAAGTATATTTACAAAATATGTAAAGAGCAGGGCAGCAGAAGGATTTTATTCCTCCTGTGGGCATAATTGCTTTCCATTTTTTTATTAGGGGTGGGGGGATGTTGTGATATCAATCTGCAAGCAAACTATTTACTCTACATATTTTATTATTTTTTTTATATCTAAATAGAAGAAAAAAATATTGAATCAACGTTACAGGTTAATGTTATTATTGTTGCAAAAAAAGAAAATATTGAAAAAATTAAATCTTAAAACTACTTTATTTCTTCTTCTTGTTATTAATATTTTGTTGTTAAGAGCAAATTGTTGAAAGACAAATTAATAATTAAAAAAAAATGTTTTGTTTTTTAAAGAGATGAATTCAAAACATTATTCATATTCATTCTATTATGTGTAGTATAGTTTCATGTTGTTGTTGTTGTATTGTATATAGTTGATAATAGTTAATATAATAATAATAATATATTGAAGTAGCAGTACTTCAATATTGGGCATCGCGTGTACTTAGAGGCACGAATTCTCACACCGCAGCTCTCACCTGCCTTCGAGCCCCATAAATACACTAACAAGTTTCAAAGATTTCAAACATATATGTGGGATTTGTTTTTGTTGTTTTTCATTTCATGTTGTAAATAAAGTGCAGTTATATTCTGAGCAAAATCTAACAAATATATGAGTTCAGTGTCGAGATGATGAGAATTTTTCAAAATTTGTATATCTATACGTAGTGTAGAGTAGTCATCATCATCATCGAGCTTTTGTGATTCCGTTTGTCTTAGCTGGGTATTAAAAAAAAGCAATGTTTAATAAACTTCTTCCTCCATGGAGAAATCCGAGGTGTCGCCAGCATATAAGGAACTAGAAAAGAAAAACATAAACAAATATATTATTAGTTAGGTAATTGAAAAAATGTTAATAATAAAATATTTTTAAATAATTTCAAATTGGCCTATACTGTTTGCCCTATTCTACAGAATTCTTTTGTTTGGTGACCTATAGTGGAATTTTATGAAGAATATTTCCTTCATTGGAATCAATCCCTCAAATAGAAGCAGATTGGAAAATTTTGCAACAAATCGAAAATAACCTAAAAAATACGTTTCCCCTTGGACAACACATTTGTTTGTGATATTTATCGCGTTATTTACAACATCTACAGATTTATTTTGTTTGGGGACCTATAGTGAAATTTGATGTAGAATATTTCTTCCATTGGAATCAACCACCTAAAATTAAGTGTTGTGTTTAATTTTGGTTCTTTTGGAAAATAACCTAGGAACTCCAACATAGCTTTGTTAATAATAAAACCAAAAATAAATAATATTCGAAATTATACATTATTTTATTATTAATACTTACTTAACAGCACGACACGTAAAGAAGACAATTCGCTTCAATTTCTTGTTGTAGAAGAAATAATTGAATGACCATAGACAACCGGGTTCACCAAATGGATCGGAACTCAAATCTGGATTATAACTGTAAATGTCACATTCTTGTAAATTGATTTCATCATCAATTGCCGACCATAAAGGTTGACGCAAAGCCTGATATTGATCGCCAGCCAATGCAGAGAGATTTGAATGTACGGAATTCATAACCCATTGCAATGAGGGTTCTTTGCTGAATTCATGACTCTGAAAAATAGAAAGAAAGAAAACATTATTATATAGTAGGGACAAGAAAATTTAATAAAAATAAAATGAAAGGTGAAATAAACAGTAAGGTGAAAATTAAACCAATTTAAATTATATTACATATATTTTCCATGATATCTAAATATCTACAGATTTCTATTGTTCGGTGACCTATAGTGAAATTTGATGTAGAATAAATCTTCCTTTGGAATCGAGTTGCTAAAATAAAGTTTTGTTGAAAATTCTGCTACAAATCGAAATTAACCTAAAAATCCAATTTTCCACTATGCACAAGTTTTATTTATTACATTTAATTTGGTATACATAACAGCTACAAATTTATTTTTTTTTTTTTTTTGGAGACCTATAGTGAAATTTGTTGTAGAATATATCTTCCTTTGGAATCGAGTTGCTAAAATAAAGTTTTATTGAAAATTCAGCTAGAAATCGAAATTAACCTAAAAATCCCATTTTTCCGTGTACACAAATTTTGTTGGTTACATTTATTTTGGTTTATATAATAGCTACAGATTTCTATTGTTCGGTGACCTATAGTGAAATTTGATGTAGCATATTTCTTTCTTTGGAAACGAGTTCCTAAATGAACTTTTGTTGAAAATTCTGCTACAAATTGAAATGAAGTTAAAAAATTCCCATTTTTCCATAATCAAAAATTTTATTTGATATATTTATTTTATTATATATAATAGCTACAAATTTCTTTTGTTCGGGGACCTATAGTGAAATTTGATGTAGAATATATCTTCCTTTGGAATCAAGTCTCTAAATTGGAATTATGTGACAAATTTTGCCACAAATCGAAATTAACCTAAAAATCCCATTTTTCCATGTACACAAATTTTGCTGATTCCATTTATTTTGGTATATATAATAGCTATAGATGTCTTTTGTTCGGGGACCTATAGTGAAATATGATGTATAATATTTCTTTCTTTAGAATCGAATTGCTAAAATAAAGTTTTATTGAAAATTCTGCTACAAATCGAAATTAACCTAAAAAATCCCATTTTTCCATTAAACAAATTTTGTTGGTTATATTTATTTTGGTATATATAATAGCTACAGATTCCATTTGTTCGGTGGCCTATAGTGAAATTTGATGTAGAATATTTCTTCCTTTGGAATCAAGTTCCTAAATTTATTATTATGGGAAATTTTGCTATAAATGAAAATAACCTAAATTTTTGCAATGATTAAGAATAATCTTTGTATGGTGGGTCTTTGGAAATAAAAATATTGATTATTGGGTATTAAAAGAGAGTAAATTTTCTTTTCAAAACAAAGAAATTCCCACATACACATACTAGCTTAACAAGTTATGTTTTTTTAATTTGTTTATTTTGAGTAAATATAGGTTAATGTGCGTTTCACAAGACAGATACCAAAGAAAGGAATATATAGATTTCCTCAAAAGACACAGACAATGTTTGCCACAATACCTAACCACATACACACATTGCCATACATATATAAATACTATAATGTATTGTTCTTGTTGTTCTAATTTGTTTGTCAATATTATTAAAAGCAAAAATAAAAGAGGCAAACAAATAACCACCAACAAAAAAAAAAAATAAAAAACAAAACAATAATTCTTTTTAGCAGACTACAGAATAAGTACCCAGCTGATTTTTTGTATATTTCCATTTGCTATTTTTATTATTATTATATTTGTTTTGACATTGAATAAAGGCATATAGCAACAACAACCATGACGAGACAGTCGAAAAGCTAGCTAAGTGTGTGAGATAAAAGCAAAAATTGTTGTTACTTTTTTTGGCAAAATCTCAAAACAACAAATGGTTTGTTTAAAAAAAAACAATCTGAAGATTTTGTTTTGAAAACAAGAACAGCAGCAGAACTGCCACCTAGTATCTAGTATAACAAATAGTTACGCAAAACGAATTTTGTTTTCCTCTCTTCTCAGACGTAGATTGTTGTTCCAATTTGTTTGCAAAATCCAATTAACCAAATTTTCAAAACACAATTATGTTTTAATTATATAATTCAATATAAATTGTAGAAAAACGAAACTTCCCTAATTGAACATGAAGAGAATTTATAACAAAGAAAAGACCAGTTCATTTACCGATCGGCCTTGTTATCACACTGTAAATAAATAAATGAAAAGCTAATAAATAAAAAAATACCAAGTCAATATTAGAGCCCAACCCCGGCCAACGGAGTATGTGGTCATCGAATTAATATTCCCGCCTAAAAAATTAAGTTCACCTTGTTTCTTGTTTTCCCCATATATCGAGGTAGTTTTTTTTTTTTTTTTGTACAGTAGAAGACAAAAGTTTGAACAAAAACCAAGCACAAGCACGTTTTATAGTATTATGTCGACCATATGTGTGTAGCCAAGTGATAAGAGAATCATCACGTGACAAAAAAAAAAAAAACTGGCATGAAATGTGTGTAGGAAGACAGGCAGGGCAGGGGTAGGGGTCGATATCTTGTAAAGACAGTGGAACAAAATGAAGAATGAAGGAAGGTGACCAAATTTCAATTAAAATAAAAAATGTCCAACTACCCAAATTGTTCAACATATTTTCCATGCTATATATTACAACTACACATTTTTGTTGTTCGGCGAACTATAGTGAAATTTGATGTAGAATTTTTTTTCCATTGGAGTCAAGTGGCTAAAATGAAGTTTTGTGGGAAATTTTGATAAAAAAATCGAAAATAACCTAAAAAATCCCATTTTTCCATATACACAAATTTTGTTGGTTATATTTATTTTGGTATATATAATAGCTGCAGATTTCTTTTGTTCGGTGACCTATAGTGAAATTTAATGTAGAATTACTCTTCCTTTGGAAACGAGTTGCTAAAATGAAGTTTTGTAAAATTTTGCTACAAATCGAAAATAACCTAAAAAATTCCATTTTTTTATATTCGCAAATTGTTAGTCATATTTTTCCCGGTATATATAATAGCTGCACATTTCTTTTGTTCGGTGACCTACAGTGAAATATTATGTAGAATATATCTTCCTTTGGAAACGAGTTGCTAAAATTAAGTTTTGTTGAAAATTCTGCTACAAATCGAAAATAACCTAAAAAAAAAACAATTTTTTCAAGTAACATAATTGTTGGTGATATTTAGTATGTAAATTATTTTAAATGTAGATTAATTCTTTCTTTGAAACCAAGCCTCTAAAATGAAGCTGTGTTGAAAATTCCTTTGCTAATTAAAAATAACCTAAAAATCGTATTTTTCCATCTAACCCAATTGTTAGACAGATTTTTCATATTAAATATTATATCTACAGATTTCTTTTGTTTGGCGGCCTATAGTGGAATTTAATGTAGAATATATCTTTCTTTCGAATCAAGACCCTAAAATGAAGTTTTCGTTAAAATTTCCATATAAATCGAAAAAAAAATAAAAATCTTATTTTCTTCAAAAAAGCAGAACTTGTGGTTATTCTCCGATTGTCACACCCAGACTAGTAAGATCTCTCAATAAAAAAATATAAGTGCTAAAAAACAACAACAACAAATTTTAACTATACAAATTTTGTGTCATTGTATTTTTTATACGTGAGTGAAATTTTTTGTTTATTAACTACGCTCCTCAATCCGTATTCCCAACATTCGAAAAAACAAAATATTCTTAAAAGCGGAACAATTCAATACAACAATAACAATAAGAAAATAAACTATCTGAATAATCAAGTCACGTATTATAAATAGCCATATTTAGCCTTCCTTAGTCGTTCCGTCGTTTGTTTGTTTCGCCCCTCTTCAACTATATGACAGACATTCTTATCTATGTTTACTTCAAAGTTTAAAAAGAAAACAAGGGATTGTTTTGTATTTTTTGAAAAAACAAAAGGAAAATCATATTCTGAATCATCACAAATGTTCGGAGTATAAGTTATCAGTTTTCTGGAAATTCGCAAATAAAGATTATGGGTGTTTTTATGTGTCATAATTAGTTTTGAAGGGGACGAATAGTCATAAGAGGACATAAAATGAAAAATAATGCAAGTAAATAACCAAAATAACCTAAAAGAAAAAAGTTTTTACTTCTATCCAAAATTGTTGGTTAGGTTTCTATTGTTCGGTGACCCATAATGGAATTTGATGTAGAATAAATATCTTTTTACGTGTAAGCAAATTGTTCGTCACATTTTTCGTGATATCTATTATAGCTACAGTTTTCTTTTGTTCGTTGACCCATAGTGAAATTTGATGTGGAATAATTCTTCCTTTGGTATCGGGATCCTAAAATGACATCTTAAAAATTGTTGGTATATAACGAAAATAAACTAAAATATCCTATTTTTAATCCTATCCAAATTTGTAGTTTAGGTTTTTCATGACATCTATAATAGATACATGTTTCTTTTGTTCCATTACCCATAATGGAATTTGGCGTAGATTAATTCTTCCCTTGGGATCGAGATCCTAAAATGATACCTTTTTAAAATTTTTGGTATATAACGAAAATAACCTAAAATTTTCTATTTTTAATCCTAACCAATTTGTTGGTCAGGGTTTTCATCACATCTATAACAGCTACAGATTTCTTTTCTTCGTTGACCCATAGTAGAATTTTATGTAGAATAATTCTTCCTTTGGAATCGAGATCCTAAAATAACACCTTGTTAAAAATGTTGGTATAGGTATAACAAAAATAACCTAAAATATCTTATTTTTAATCCTATCCAAATTGTTGGTTAGGTTTTTCATAATATCTATAATAGCTACAGGTTCCCTTTGTTCGATGACCCATAATAGAATTTGATGTAGAATAATTCTTCCTTTGAAATCGAGATTCTAAAAATCAAGCTTTGTTTGAAATGTTGATACAAATTGAAAATAACCTAAAAATAATATTTTTAATTGGTTAGAAAATTTTTAGTCACGCTTGTTCACGATACCTATTGCATCTACATATTTCTTTTGTTCGGTGACCCATAGTGAAATTTGATGTAGAATAATTCTTCTATTAGAATCGAACTCCTAAAATAAAGTTTTGATGGTATTTTTGCTAAAAATCTAAAATAATTTAAAAATTCCATTATTCCATAGATCCAATTTGTATGGTCATATTTTTCATATTAGGTTCCTTTTAATTCATATCAGGTTCCTTTTAACTCTCATTATATGAAATGTAAAAAAAAAGAAAATGAAATTATTAAGACTAAAAGTATTCACATTGTGTCGTCTTACCTTAGCATCTGAGAAATCATAATCCGGTTCGAATGATGCATTCAATGTTGCAATCAAATGGAATAGGGTTTTACGTGATATGGTATCACACAAGATGACACCCTCATCCCCCGATTGGCTATTATTGCGATGAAAATTTGGCGATAAATCAGCCAATGTCTGTGGTGGCGATAAAGCCTGCAAATCATGTGGACCATAGCCATGAGTTTCCGATGTGAAACGTTTATACAGACTTTTATCGGCTGCAACCATTTTACATGAATACGATTCAATGCGTCCAAAGATGGTGCTGCTGCCCGAACCAATGGACAGAGCATTGTTGATCGCCTCGAAACGTGAACTTTCCAGGAGTTTCATTTTGACAACTTCTATAAGTAATCAAGAGATGAGATTTTACGTTCCAGGTAAAATCTTAAACAGGCTTTCCGTCTTCTTTAGATCTTCTCTGTTATTGTTCAAGAGTGCTGATCCACTTTCAATAAAGATATGTTTTGTTTTGGGTTTATTCTCCTTTATGTTTGTAAAGTGGTGTTCCTTTCTTCTTTTTTGGAAATATTCTTGTTCTGTTTGAAATCTTTTATTTTTGCTTTTGTCTTAACGATGCATATAAGCTTAACAATCCTAAGTTAAGAGAGGGACACACGACGACCTTTTTTTGTAATATTAAAGGTGCTCAAAATTTCAAGAGGTCGTTGCTGGGTCACACTCCTTAAGCTTGGAGACATATAAATATCGGTTGTGAGCAAATGCTGAATCTTGATCTGGCACAAATGCTCTGGTTCATTATCGTTTGGCCGGCAACGGGTGTCGTCACTTGTTGTTGTTGTTGCCAATTGTTGAAGTTTCTGAACATGGTCGAGGGGTGTACCAGAATTCTTCTTTTCTTCACACCGGCTCTGTTGTCCTTTATGCTCGAAATTCTACGGTTAATGGCTGCGGATGATCTTTGTTGGGGTTCTTGTTGCTGTCTGAGTTGTTGTTGTTCTTGTTGTTGTTGCTGAGTAAACATTACACTAATGCCTGGCCACCGAATATACCGGAATTCTATATTTCTAAACACACACAAAATTCTAATTGGAAAATGAAAAATCTTGTTTTGTTTTGCTTGCTGTGCTGTTGTTGCTATGGTTGACGGCGGCGCTGAGTGGTGGTGGTGATTGTTCGCTTGTTTGAGCTTGTAGGCTTTTTCAAAATGGCGTCAACGTTAGTTTGTCTATATATGGAGGAAACACAAAGTACAACAACTGCCCTTGGTTTCAACAGTCCAGGAGAAAAAATTTTGTTAAATGATTCACAAATTTCTTTGTTTTTCTTGTTGTTGTGTTACTAAGCTGCCCTGTTTGAGCTTGCTTTCTTTTTGTTTACTAGTAAACAAGTGATGATTATTCAATCAGTAGTAGTTTTTTTGTGTTTTCTTTTCGTTTGTATTTTTCGAAAACACTTCCAGCGCCTTATTTCACTTTAATTTTGTTTGCCACTTTTTTTCTCTTTTGTTTAAAACACACTATCACTGTGTTTTATAAACGTTCTTCTTCAAAATCCATATCAAACATATTTGCTAATAATCGTAATAAATACATTCTCGTAGCTTTTAATGAAATCACCTCAATTATGTAAAAAAATATACGATGATCCGAATAGGAGATTTTTTTCTTTTTTATTTTTCTTTCGCTTTTCACAAATATTGTAGCACTTCCGTATTGACGTTTTGCAATAAACCCAAAAAAGATTATCGATTGCGTTTGCTTGTTTTTCTTTGAAACTTTTTTCTTTAAAAAATAATTTATTTATAGATTATCTTCTTAGATCCGAATATTTCTTTGTATGTTGAGAGGAGCTGGTTTTCTGTATAACTGTATAGCGCTTTATATGTCGACATAATGAAGAAAAATAAAAAACGTTCCACTTGCCAACGAATGGGAGAGACGACAAAATGGCAGATAATGAAGACCTCAAAGTATGACCCTGTAGGAAATTTCCATAGCAATCACTACTGACCCTCTATTGACATTGTCACCAGTACTACTATTAACCGACTATACCCGACTATTGACATTTAACATATGTTAGGTCACAGGGTCAGTAAATCTTCTATAACTTATTTTGCTCAAATTTAAATTAATTATCCTATTGCTTTTTTTCTATTTCAACTTGCATTTTGCACATGTCTGTCCAATGTCGCCTGCTCAATTGGCTGTTAACATAACCAATGCTTCTTCTTATTACATGATAACATGAAAAAAGGAATCGATTTCATTTTTCTCTTTTTCTTTCTTTACAGAAATATTTTATTTATAGAATATGTCACTCTAAGCTGAAAGGAGCTGGTTTTTATTTATTATTATTATTTTTTAATTACAGTTTTGCGCAGTTTTTGTAATGATGTGTAGACGAGCCAGTTAAGCAAACGATTAATTGACACAAATCGATAACACACTATCGGTTGTTATTGACACAAGCAAACTACAAAGTCAGCCAATTGGAAAATGGCAACAAGTCAAGGCAACAAGGGGTAACTAGGTCGACTTTTGTTTAATCGTTTATTTAATAAATAAATGCACAAAAAAAAAACAAAAAATACAATAAAATAATTTGAAAATATTAGAAATAATATATAATGTATAAGACCAGGAAAAAGTAATATTAAACACGCCTCTTAGAGCCTCCTAAAAATTATTTTAATAATCTATGACTTCTAAAGACCTCGGAAAATTTATTAAGAAAAATTATATATTCTAGAGACTCTGGAAAAAAGATTGTATACAAAAATCTAGATATTGTAAAGATCTTGAAATAAAATATTTAAAAAAAATCCACCCCTTCAAAATCTAGGTTTTTAAAGGCCTTGAAAAATTAATTTCAAAACTCCATATAATTTATTAAGAAAAAATATATATTCTAGAGACTCTGGAAAAAAGATTGTATACAAAAAATCTAGATATTGTAAAGATCTTGAAATAAAATATTTAAAAAAAATCCACGCCTTCAAAATCTAGAATTTTAAAGACCTTGAAAAATTAATTTCAAAACTCCATATAATGCATGGATTTTTTAAATAGTTTTTTGGAGACCTAGGCTACGTTTACATTTAACCGGATTTCGTTAACTCAGTGGGTTTCAATTGTCAATTCCTTTGCATATATGTCAAATAAATCCTCATAAAGTAGGTTAACCCGGTAAAAAGTTCTAATGTATATGCCGTTCTACATGGATTTATTACATAAAAATCTGAGTTTCTAAAGTTGTCTCCATTGTTCAATACTACACTTCAACAGTAATCTAAATTCGAATTCTCAGGATTCAACCAATCCAAATTATTTCACCTTTGGAACTTTTCATGCTCATAAGTAAACATTTCTTAAACTACATCAATCCTATAGTTTAACAATAATTATATTTTCACCATAGTCCAAATTGTATCAAATTTAGTACTTTTTGTACTCATAAGTACGAATTTCCAAATGTACCTCAACCCTGCTTTCAAATAGTGATCGTATGTCCAAATTTAAGAATTCCAGCTCTGCCTGTTCATTAAAAACCAAATTGTACGATATTTGGTACCATTCTGTACTTTTCGTACCCACATTCTAAAACCTATCTCAATATTCTAAACCTGATTTCAAATAGAAATCGTAAGTCAAAATTTAAGAATTCCAGCTCTGTCTATTCACCAAATTGTAGCAGATTTCGTTCCATTCTGTATCCATATTCCAAACCCATATCAATAATACACTCCCACAGTAACCTAAGTTGCAACTTTCAGGATTTGAGTTCTACCCGTTAATGTTTTTTTTTTCACTACTCAATATTTCTTATGTATATCTCAATATTTTTTTTCTTTCTAATTTATTCATAACACCTTAATGCTTTCCATTTCACAAAGGTCATGGCCCATAGAATACCTTTCACAAACGTAACATATACAAATTGCTTCTTTACAATAACACCGAAATCCAATAACACGAAGAAAAAAATATTCGAATCTTCAATTGGCATACGATTTCATTTACATGGAATGTAAACAAAACAACAATTCTCAAGTATTTTGAAATATTTTACAATCGAAGATGATGAAGAAGACGAAGAAGTACATTGTCTTTCGATTTTTTGTGTATTTCCAGAGAGCAATAAATTTACTTCCCATTAAAGAAGTGAAGTTGTCTAATTGGAGAAAAAGAAAAAAATCCAAAGAATAACAATGGAACTATAAAATGAGCAGGGCAATTGTTTACATCTTCTTTATTTACATCCAACAAGAAAATATACAAAACATTTAATTATAGGGAGAAAAAGTTAATTAAGTTACAAAATTAGTACAAAGAAAAAAGATTGACATAGGTCAGGTGTGGATTTTTTTAAATAATTTTTTCCGGCGTAGATTTTTTAAAAAATTATTAAAAAATTTAAATAATTATTTCAGAAATCCACGCCATATATAGACCCTCACAAAAAATTAGTTGAAAAATCCACGCCTTTTGAAGACCTCAGAAAAAATTATTTAAAAAATCTACGCCGAAAAAAAATTTATTTGCAATAAAAATAAATTTGAAATTTCTAAAAATATGCTATTAAAACTTAATTTAAAGATAAAAGTTTTGGTTTAATTTTAATGCCGAGCCGGTGTTTATATATAACAAATCTCAAAAAATTATTAAATCTATTCCACTTTGGAATACTTTTAAGGAGATTGAGAGAGAGAGTGAATGAGAGAGAGAGTTGTTTATTGTGTTTTAGAGCATTAAATAACACCAATATGCATTACGGCTTAAACCATTTTGGTGTTAAAATAAAACCAAAATATTTATATTTGATACCTATTTAGGAATTAATTTAATGCCCTGTGTAATAGGTTATTTTAATTAAGAATTTGATTAATACTATTCGGAATGTTTTATATTATATAAAATATTCGGAAATGGAAGCTTTATTTTCTCTAATCGCTATTATAGTTGGCTGCTGAGATCTAATTTCGTACTCTTCAATCGGTGTGTGTAGCTACAATAAAAAGATAACCAATTAGATAATAATAACGATTTTTTTCTTCAAATTACCTGTTCAATATTAATAAAACTGTCCACTGATTTATGGATCTTAGCTCTTTTTGTTGCTCGTCCAGCAGCAGTCGACGGAAGCATCTTTAATAAATATAAAAATGGTAAGACATCGATAGATCATTCAGATAAGGCTTCCAAGCTTTGTCCTCCGACCTCATATGCTCTTTCATTTACCAAAATTTATATTTCTACCAATTATGAAATAGTCCTTTTGATTTTAATTCGTCATAGCAAAGATCAAAATTGAACAAAAGCTGTAGGGATAAAGTTAGTGAATTAAATAGGAGCTTTTTGTATGTTGTAAAAAGTGTATTATTACGAATATGGGAAAGGCCTGCAACACATTTACCTCTGTTGTAAAATATTTTATACTTGCTTTTAATGTTTCTTGCAGCTTTTCTTTCACAACCAATAGATCATCAACTAAACAATTTTGGAAAAAGTCCAGGTCTTCTTGAATAATTTACTAGTATTTTTTTCTTCGCTGCCACTTTCACTCGTTTTTTTCAGATTCTGCAGATGCTGTCGTCAACATGCGTCTCTTTAAATTATTTTTTTTAATTTTGCAACTATATAACCTGTATTAGTTTCCGGGTTATAAAATAGATCCTAAAAAGTTAACATTTTTGCCCGCCAGCCAGCCGGCCACGCGCAGACAAGTTAAGTTAATATAAAGAATATAAAAATTGAAAGCAATATAAATTTCTACTTACCTTCTTAAAATGTATGCTACTGATTGTTGAAGTTGTTTCTTCAAAGCAAAACTCCACAAAAAAAAAAACTACAGGAACTGTTCTGCCATATTATAATTTGTATGCCCAGTAAGCATTGAAAAACTGTCAAATTTATCATGGTGGATAAACAATTCCCTGAAGTATTTAAATTTGTACCATATGGTTTGAAATATTAACTATTTTGAAATTAATTTTAAGTTTATTTCCAAAGAAGTTTAAATTTAACTCCGCTAAGTTTCAAAATTAAACCAAAACTTTTTACTGTGTGCTATCTTTTCACCTGGTCAGAACTTTGTTCGTCGATTAATTGTGAGATGCTGCTGCTTCTGATTCTGTTCTAAAAGTAAATAAACAATTATCTCTATTTTTTGTTTATATTTAAGAAGAACAAAAGAACAAATCAGGAAGTAAATGGGGCTAAAATATTTTTTTCGGCAAGAAAAAAAATTGGGTACTGAGTATTTAAAGCATTGCTACTAAAAATACACGGAAATCCAAACGCTAATGTCAAACGGAAATCATTTTCGTTGAAGGTGTGAAAATTTAAAAGAGTCCGCAATGAGCTACCAATTTTTTTTTTCAATAAACAAAAGACATTTTCAAATTCTTGTGGTTTTTTTCACTTTTTAAGAAGTCATCGAATCCAAAAAATATTCCTACCCCAAAAATGTTCATCGATTTGTTTATAGAAATTCAATTTTTTTTCACAATTACAATTCCAATGATTTATTTACATAAATACAACAACAACAAGACATTTAATTGTTGTTGTTCTTGTTTTACTTACATGTATTAGTGGCTGCCTGCGTCAATTACTAATGTATTAACCCCAAAAGAGAAATGAGTAGTGTTTACAACTCTTTTATTTTTGTTGTTGTTTTTCGGTTTGTGTGTTTTTTTTCGTTAAAACTACAAATCTATGTTTTTTTTTATTTTTTCGTTTTAGTTTAGTTTAAGGAATAATAAATTAAGGAATCCACAGAGTTCGTTTTACATACATAGAGAGAGAAGGAGATAAATATTAAAGAGAGACGATTCTCTCCTAACCTAGAATACATTTTTTTATTAAGTGTCCAAAACCAACCAGAGAATCAAGAGTCAGCGGCATACTTTGTCGCCGGCGTGAAAACCAAACGAAAGAGCTCGACGCAACGGGATTTCCCGTTATCAATATGAAACACTCAGGTAAACGACTGTCGCTGATTCTAGACTCTCTGGTTGTGTTTAGATTCTGAAGTGTAGACAAATTGACGTCTTGCCTTTTTTCTTATGGTAGAAGGGGAAATGTTCCAAAAAATATTTGTTTTTAATGGTTGGAAACATAAAAACGGAACTTCACTCCTGTTCTGGTAACAGCTCAGAGGCCCATACATCCTGGGGCCATCCAGTGCGTCCTTTACTTTGACGAGTTGAGGCCTGAAATTGAACGAAAAAAATTTTTTGAAATTAAATTGTGATACAATTTTAAGAATATTTTTTTTGGGGTTTTTTTAATAAATATTTTTGTTTAAATATTCTTAGAAAAAAAGATATTTTTAAATAAAAAATTATAAAAAAATATTCAAAAATTATTCATAATATTCTAAAAAAGGTACGTAAATAGACGTTGGCTTAAAAAAATATATTGAAAAATCTTTAATTTGTATACCCCACACAACTATGATGTTAGGGTATTAAAGCTTTGTACAGCCCAAGTATTTGTAACGCAGCGAAATATTGGTCCTACAGCCACCTTTAAGTACACCGATCGTCATATCTCGACTAGCTGAGTCGATCTAGACATGTGTGTCCGTACGCCCGTCTGTCCATTATAAATTGTAAAAACGATACAGGCCACAGTTATGGAACAATCTTTGCATGTAGGCCGGTAGAATGTATTCATGGAAATTCGATCCAACCTTAATGTTGTGCATTTTATGTGCTAAATCGAGCCTCTAATTCTTATTCAGAGACCGAAGAGTTAATAAAAATTCGCCACGTGGTACCAGAGGTGACAATCTTATAGATCTGATGATTCACCATCATTTTCTAGAACTTGCCTTCGTACATTTTTGCAGAAATTGTAGTTCGCCCCAAAATCTGCAAAGCATAAATCTTCTAAGTCATCTGGCCGTTTAATACAATGATCGAGCAGCCCTGATATAAAAATATCGATGGAATTACTTTCTAGAGCCAGTAATTGTTGGCGAGATTTTAAAATATAAACTCTTTGTTCTGTCCTACCGGTATTAATGTAGCTACACTAGGCATATACGTCCAAAATGAACTGTATGTCCATATTGACCCTATGTAATTCTAATATTGTGGAATTGTAATCTTCGTAGTCCGTTCTGATGTTTTCGTGTTACAAAAGAAATTGGAAATCCAATCCAATTGAAATATGAGGCCATTAGATAAATTTGCCGTTAGCATACTTTGAATTCGATCGTACGGAGACTTGTATCATTCTGTATTTTCCATGTTATCTGGAAAAGGCAGAAGGATTTCCGTCTGTGTTCCATGTTATCTGGAAAAGGCAGAAGGATTTCCGTCTGTGGCATTGGCTGTGGATATGGCATGCCGTAATGACATTTTTTTTCTCCCCTATATTCACGGGTACATGAACGGTTATTGTTGTGGAATTGTTAAGTTATGTAAGGAGCTACGATTTGTTCGGAGCTGTCAGTACTTATATATCTATAAATTCAATTATTATTGGGAATGTCGTTGAATCATTTAAATAATATTTTCGGTGCATTTTTCAATCAGTACATTCCGTGGACATCCGTGGAGATCCTCTCTGTTGAAACTCAACCCTCCAATATGCCGTTTCTGTAATCCGAGCCGAATCTGTAATCAAAATATCTCGCACATGTGGCAGAATCGCTGTGAACTAACCTTGCCTTTTCCCCAAATGTCAGATTGGATGCATCGTCCTCAGAAATGTCTATATTGTCTACCGTTTTGGACAAAATAACCAGTAGTTCGGGCCTTCTTGTTTCGACAGAATTAAAAATAATTGGTCTGTTCCGGTACTGCAAGAATCTACTTCTTTTTACTACTATAACGAATTTTCCTTTATGATATCGAAAAAAATATTAAAATCTAGTAGATTCTTGCAGTACGGGAACAGACCAAATGTTTTGGATTGTTTGCCTAATCATCTGCTTTCCAATGGGCAGGCGAAAATCACTCTCCCTTAAAAATACGATATCCCTCATCATGTCGAAAAAACGAATTTATGAAGTTTTCATTGAGTGCATTAGTAGCGGTAACATTATTTCTTCTCACAGGTATTAGATGTGGCGTTTCTTATAATTATAAGTTCTAATTTCTTATAACTGTACAACAGCTTATCAAGTCTACACGCTCGTCTGTCATAGCGGCGTTTTTCTGGACACTCTCGTTTTTTGATCCACACTAAATTGCTGCAAATGACGATTCCTCCGAATCCTCATCATAAACCATATCGAGTGGCCGTTGACCTTCACCCGGCGCCATTATGATCCTTTCCAAGGGTTGGTTTTCTATTGGTAAATTTTGCAGCAAAGTCTGTTGTCCTCCAGGATTCAACACTTCATTGTCATCGCCATAAAAGTTTTCATTCCCGTTTGGGGCAGGTGTGGGTCTTGTTGTTTGGGTGTTGTAGATGTCCATAGTAATATCAGTCAGCTATAAAGGGGACATCATGTTGCGTGTTGAATACATTTAACCATGCTTCGTCAATATTAATATTATGTTTTTATAGATATCTGTCTGCGTCAGGAACCTAGCTGCTTGTAATACTTTAGCTGTTTTTATTGTCTCTGTCATGTTGATCTTGTGCCTGGTCAAATGTTTGTGAAAGAGAGGCAACGGTGTGATTGACTGGTACATTTACCACCGCACCTCTTATAGCGCTCTGTCTTTCAAACCCTAGCGACACTATTATCATGAATGCTAATCTTGCAGTTACCAGTCTTTCTTCAATAGCTGTTAGGCCAAGCAGACTATCGGGAATTTCGGAATATTCAAGGCCATTTGATAGTCTAATGTTCGGATTCCTTTTGTTTTTAACTAATCTTGCACACGTTCGGCAAAATTTGTACACATTATTTGTATTTGGAAATTTGTGTAACAAACAAAAAAACTTGTGAAATGAAAGTTCGATCATCGCTATATCCTTTTTTTATACATTCTACTTGATGTGGCAACCATAGTCCACCACAAAATATGCATATAACTGTATTGCCTCATTGTATCTGTTATATGCATGTACTTCAGTTTGCCTGTTCTGTCCTTCTTAATGGAACTGTGCCCGTCTATTTCTATTTATATCAGCCTGTCTTTGATTCTCCAAAATTCTATTTTCCTCATTATTCCTATATCTCGAAACTCTTATTTGCTGAGATCTTAGCAAATCAAAATTCAATTGCCTTGCTGCGACACATCTATCATTCATACGCATTCTGTTTAGAGCTCGTTCATTCTCTCCGATTACAGGATTTTCTTTGGCGCCTTGCAGACGTATTTCTGGCTTGTTTTGTTATTCGATGTGCCACATCTGACCGCCTTATAGAATGTTGTTGGGTGTTCCTGCGCCCTAACCGAAGGCGTCGTATCTGGTTTCAATACGGTTTCCTACCTGTTCAATTCCCCGATAAAGCGGACTCAAACGACTTTGATGGTGTTCCGTAGTATATCTAGCTTGTTCTTCTTGTCTATTAAAGGAATTGTCTCGCATTTCTCGGTGCTGTTGCGCATCCCTTAAATGTTCCACTTCGCAATAAGAGTTGATTGTGCGCCTCTATCGATGTTCGATCGTATTTCAAACTTGTTCATTGTGTCGTATAATTTCGTTTGATCGCGTCAAATAACATATCGTGGCATTTACTATCAGCTTAATATATACGCCCCCAGAATAAAAATTTTGGCAATTTTTCACACAAAATTCGTGGTCTATTTCATCCGCTAAATATTGATCGATCTTAATCAAACCCGGCATGCTTAGTCTTTAGCTTGTTTGGGCCATACTTGCGGCCTTTAGATCTTTACCAAAAACAAAGGGGTCTTCATTGTGCAGAACCCATCGCACATGCAAAGATTGGCCCATAACTGTGGCCTGTATCGTATTTACAATTTATAATGGACAGACGGACACACATGTCTAGATCTATTCAGCTAGTCGAGATATCACGATCGGTATACTTAAGGGTGGCTGTAGGACCAATATTTCCCGGCATTACAAATTCTTTGGGCTGCACATAGCTATAATACCATGACAACATAGTTGTGTAGGGTATTAAAGGTTTTTCAATAATTTTTTTTTCAAAGAAACGCCTATTTGACGACTTTTTTTAGAAAAATATTTTTGAATATTTTTTATAATTTTTTATATCAAATATCTCTACTTTTCTAAGAGTCGTCTATGGCACGCGTCGTAACCTTTTCCTAACGAATTTTTTTGATTTTAAAATCCCCTGTTGGATTAATTTGTTATACTCCCTCTATTTTTTGTTCTGGTTTTTTATTCTCAATACCAGAACACTGATAATATTTTAATGCAATACAGCAATTATGAAAACAAAAAAAAAAATCATGTTCCGAAAAGGGCCATATGTTCATTACAACAATACCAACCACACACCACAACACAGCATCTTCAACGAGGTGGCGGCTGCGGCACTTGTTCGGCCAATACAAAAAAATTGTTGCTGATAAAAATGCTTTTAGAGAATAGAAAAAATTGAATATTGCAGCACACAAGTATATATTTTTATGGTTATGATATACTTTTCCTCTGTTTTGTTGTTGTGATGGTTCTGCTTGGAATAAATGAGGGGAAACACTTGCGGAATTAAGTCAACCAAAGCCAGTCTGACACAACCACTTGATATTGGCCACACACATCAACCAAACAAAGCCTTTTTGGAAAGTCAAAGACCAGTAAAACAATAACAACACAAACACTTGAAATCCCAAATAGGCACCTCAATTTTCCCAGATGTCATAACATCACCACCCCCCAAAAACAGAGTTCATCATAATTCAATTGAACGAATTAAGTATGATATTAGCCCACCCCCTTCTCCGCATTATGCTATGTTAATGGTACAACTTTACTGGTACATTGATATCTACTTATCCCCGCAACCCAAAATAAATAAAAATGAAAATTATTATTTAAGTGCAATTGTTGTGGTTATGCTGTTGGAGGAATTGAAACATAAATTAGAACAACAATTTAGTTAAGTGTCGTTTAATGAGGCCACATTGCCCAAAAATTGCAACCCTCTTGTGTAATTTTTTGCTAAAATCCTCCTCCTCACAAACATTTCCACAACACGAATTATTGTGATTAACTTGTGATCTCTGTTCTCTGTCAAAAATGGCAATGCGGTTTTGTTGTTATTGTTGTGTTTTTTCTCTCCCCACTCTCCCGTTAATCGCTCATGTTTAACTCTGTCAAAAATGGCCATGCGATTTTGTTTTTACTGTTGTGTGTGTGTGTGTTTTTGTAACCCCTCTCCCGTTAATGATTAACGGTTAATCGTTCACGCTTAACTCTGTCAAAAATGGCCATGCGGTTTTGTTGTTATTGTTTTTTCTCACCACTCTCCCATTAATACTTCATGCTTAACTGTGTTTACCGTTTTATGACAACACCAACAAGAATTCTTATTGGCATTTGTTTGTTTTGATAATCATTTCGTGGCAATGTAATTTATAATCGTGTATAAACACTGTTTAATTGTAATCTAGCACATGACGTACGGTACTTTTTCTCTCTCTCTCTCACTCAGAGACACTCTCTTACCTTTGTTGCTGCTGCGGCTGCTTCACTGCGTATATACGCCCTCTTTTCATGGGAATTTTTGCGATGCAATGGCTTGAGATCGGCACGAAACCCATTATTGGGATCCTGGTCGCCATCAAGGACTTCCACTAGATATCTAATATAGAGTATGGCCAATTTCAGGGTTTTAATCTAAAAAAACACAAGGAAATGTTATAAAAAAGTGAAGCTGTAGATTTAAAAAAAATTCAAGAAACTACATTAAGCGTGGAATTTTAAAAAAAATATTTTTAGAAATCAACGCCAGGCGTAGATTTTTAAAATTTTTTAAGGATCTACGCAAAGTGTAGATTTTTAAAGATCTACGCAAGGCGTGGATTTTTAAAAAAATATTTTTAAGGACAAGGACAAGGCGTGAATTTTTTAAAGACTAATTTTCAAGGCCTAACACTATGACTAATTTTCAAGGCCTAACACAAGGCGTGGATTTTTTAAAGACTAATTTTCAAGGCCTAACACTAGGCGTGGATTTTTTAAAGACTAATTTTCAAGGCCTAACACTAGGCGTGGATTTTTTAAAGACTAATTTTCAAGGCCTAACACTAGGCGTGGATTTTTTAAAGACTAATTTTCAAGGCCTAACACTAGGCGTGGATTTTTTAAAGACTAATTTTCAAGGCCTAACACTAGGCGTGGATTTTTTAAAGAGTAATTTTCAAGGCCTAACACAGGCGTGGATTTTTTAAAGACTAATTTTCAAGGCCTAACACTAGGCGTGGATTTTTTAAAGACTAATTTTCAAGGCCTAACACTAGGCGTGGATTTTTTAAAGACTAATTTTCAAGGCCTAATACAAGGCTTCGATTTAAAAAAAAATTCAAGGCCTAACACAAGGCGTCGATTTAAAAAAAAAATATTTTCAAGGCCTAACACAAGGCGTCGATTTAAAAAAAAATATTTTCGAGGCCTAACACAAGGCGTCCATTTTAAAAAAAAAAATATTTTCAAGACCTAACACAAGGTGTCGATTTAAAAAATATATATATATATTTTCAAGGCTATCCAGGATAAGTGGCACAAGATCAGCAGTTAAAGTCGGAAGGGACCATTTGGAGCCTTTTAATGCAGAACGACGATTCAGATAAGGTGACAGTTTGTCGTGTGACCTTTTTTAACATCCTGCTGGTCATACGAGAGGCAAAAGTGAACAGAAATGGCACTCTGTACACCAAACCGCATATGTTACTCGCCTACGCCGATGACATCGGCATAATGGGTCGAACATTGAGAGCGGTAACAGCCACCTTTCAACAAATTGAGAAGGAGTCTGCCAAAGTGGGTGTGGAAGTAAACCGGGAGAAGACCAAGCTGATGATATCAACGCGCAAGACGGCCAGTAGACTCGGACCATCTGTGGAGTTTGAGAACTACAGCTTCGAGGTAGTCAAAGATTTTATATATCTTGGTACCGTCATAAACAAAACGAATGACATCAGTTTTGAAATTCGGAGAAGGATAGTGATGGCCAACAGATGCTACTATGGTCTAAGTAAGCAACTCAAAAGCAAGGCCACCTCCCGCCAGACCAAACTCACACTCTACAATACGCTGATACTAACCGTGCTGTTATATGGCTCTGAAGCATGGGTACTTGCGCAAACAGATGAGGCTGCTCTTGGGTGTTTGAGAGAAAAATTCTCCGAATGATCTATGGGCCTGCGTTGACAGTGAATATCACCGTCGAATGAACCATGAGTTGTATTAGATATATTGAGCTGCAGCAACTACGTTGGCTAGGTCATATTGTGAGAATGGATGAAGATGCCCCAGCCCAGAAGATATATAAAAGCGAACCAGCTGATGGTTCACGCAGATGGGGAAGGCCAAGAATACGTTGGAAGGATCAGGTCGAAGACAACATCGCCGAAAATGGTCTTTCAAATTGGAAAAACTGCGCAAAAGACCGACGCGCCTGGAAATATTAAGCTCGGCTTATGGAACGAAAGTTCTGTCACAAACCAGTATTTTTTGAAATCTACGAAAGGCATAGATTTTTAAAGACATAGTTTTAAGGATCTACGCTTAGAAATTTTTTTTAATATTTCAAATATTTTTATTCGAACTTACCTTCGATAATTTCGTATCGGACGGCACATTCGGTATTTTATCGCGCAAACATGAGAATGCATTATTGATGCTCTGTGTTCGCCGTCGCTCCTTCTTATTTGCCGTGTTCCGTTTCTTGACCACACGAACTGGAGGAACAGAAATTGGAGTAAGAGATTTCGGTGAATCATCAGTGGTAAAGAAACTATCATGAAATTGGCTTTCCACATCTTAAAACAAAGAAAATTTTTTTGAATTATAAAAACCACAAAATTTGATTTCGCTGAAAAGGTATTGGGCATCCCTCTCGGCCATAGAAATTTGGGAAATATTTAAAAAATTGCGAAATTTTGTTTTTTTACCTTCTAAATCGGATGAGGAGGCTGGACAATAACTGCTGGGCGAACGATAATAATGTTGACTGGCATTTATGTTGGCGGTCAGGGTGCAGGTTGTGGTTGCTGGAACTACCGTTGTTGTTGTCACCGATTGACAACAATCTTGTGTTGTTGTTGGCAGGTGATGTTGCTGAGGATGCACTTGATGTTGTTGTTGCGGCTGCTGGTGATGTTGCTGTTCGTGATGATTGTTCTGATGTGGTTTGCTGTCAATACAATATGTGGGTGTGCTCCAGGCATCTAAGGGTAGTCATAAATTTTGGAAATAAAATTTAAAAATTGATTTTAAATTAAATAAAATTCGCAAACATGTTCCGACGGTATATAAATGCCAAAGTTTTTTTTGGAAAATTTTAAAAATTCGAAAAGGCTTCAAAAAATAGCAAAATTTTTAATTAATTTTAATTGTTTAATTTTTATAGTATATTTATATTATTATTTTTTGATTTGTTTAATTTATTTCCTTTAATTTTTATATTTTATTAATTTTCACTTTTCCTATTTTTATAGATTATTTTAATTTTTTCCTTATTTTTTCAATTGCTTTTTTTCTATTTTATTTTATTTTTTTAATTAATTTTTTTTTTTATTATTTTTTCTTCATTTTTATATTTTTTGTTTGTTCTTTTATTTATTTTTTTTTTTTCAAATAAAAAATCCACCTACGTTCAATTGCATTCATATCCATTAAACGATAACTATTATTGTAAAATAAATGATCATTTTGATAGAACGGCGATGAATCGCGACAGATTTGTTGGGTTTCATATTTCGACATAACGGTATTTTCACTTGTTTTCTTCTAACAAAAACACACAAATTATTCTTATTTGTTTTTCTTCTTATTTTCCTCTTCTCTCTTTTTTAAATTCAACACTTTAATTTTTCATGTTTTTTATTGAAATAAACAAATAAATTCGTTGTATGCTCGACCGTTTGTGTTTGAACAAGATTCGTATCAATACTGAACGGAATTTAATTCATCAGTTACAATATTGTTTCAATTTCAATGAGTTTTCCCCCATTTGTTATTGTTTCGATTGTTTTGGTTTTCCCTTATAAACGCAATGTTGCGTTCGCGCGCACACACACACATACAAATCCCCAATAGCACACTTTTATGGCAAAGAGGTTGGTTGGTCTCTGCTCTCCACCCCCATATATTGTGTCTCAGCCAATGAGAAGAGAGCCAGCATTAACATTTATGCCTTGTTATTGGTCAATTGAAACGCCATTTTGTTTCTTATTGGCATTCGAGTGGGGAATGGGTGAGAACAAAGAGTGCTGTATGACACACAAAGATATAGGGTAGACTAGATCGACTTTTATTTATGCAAGGGTTGGACATTAATTAATTAGGGAAAATAATATATTATAATATATTATTTTATTTTAAAAATAAATAAATAAAATAATGTATTATATTTTACTAAAAAAAAAAGAAAAGTAATGGCATTTAAAAAATATTTCAAATAATGAAAAAGCCTAAACATATTTAAAAAAATTACAATTAAAAATTATTAAAAAAAAAACAAAATTTAAAAAAAAATAAATAATCACAATAAACCATGCTTCAAAAATGTATATGAAAAATTGGCATAATTTAAAAACAAAATAAATAATATATCTACTTAGCTGGCTTGTCACAGAACTTTCGTTCCATAAGTCGAGCTTAAAAAAGATTTCCAGGCGCGTCGGTCTTTTGCGCAGTTTTTCCAATTTGAAAGATCATATTCGGCAATGTTTTCCTCCACTTGATATTTCCATCGTATTCGTGGCCTTCCCCTTCTGTGTGAACCATCAGCTGGTTCGCTTTTATATGCCTTCTGGGCTGGGGCATCTTCATCCATTCTCACAACATGAGAATGTAGTCGCCGCTGTAGTTCAATACGTCTAAGAATGTTGATGTCCGAGAATAGCTGCTACAGCTCATGGTTCATTCGACGCCGATATTCACCGTCAACGCAGATCGGCCCATAGATCTTTCGGAGATTTTTTCTCTCAAACACTCCAAGAGCTGCCTCATCTGCTTGCGTAAATAACTATGCTTCAGCCCAACCATATAATTGCATGGTTAGTATCAGCGTCTTGCAGAGTGGTCTGGCGGGAGGTGGCCTTGCTTTTGAGTTGCTTACTTAGACCATAGTATGACCTGTTGGTCATCACAATCCTTCTCCGAATTTCAAAACTGATGCCATTCGTTTTATTTATGGCGGTACCAAGGTATATAAAATCTTTAACTACCTCTATGCTGTAGTTCTCAAGTTCCACAGTTGGTCCGAGTCTACAGGACGTTTTGCGCGTTGATACCATCAGCTTGATCTTCTCGCCGTTTACTGTCAGACCCACTTTGGCAGACTCCTTCTGAATTTGTTCAAAGGTGGCAGTTACCATTTCTGTTCACCTTTACGTCTCGTATGACCTTTTCCAGCAGGATGTTAAAAGGGTCACACGACAAACTGTCACCTTGTCTGAATCTTTGTTCGTATTAAAGGGCTTCGACAGTTCCTTTCCGACTTTAACTGCTGATCTTGTGCAGTTAAAGTTATCATGCATAGCCGAATTAATTTTGCAGGAATGTCACCTTTGCGTCTCGTATGACCTTTTCCAGCAGGATGTTAAAAATGTCACACGACAAACTGTCACCTTGTCTGAATCTTCGTTCGGTATTAAAGGGCTTCGGGAGGTCCTTTCCGAATTTAACTGCTGATCTTGTGTCAGTTAAAGTTATCCTGCATAGCCGAAATAATTTTGCGGGAATGCCAAACGCAGACATGGCTTTAAACACATCTGAACGGATAGGGCTATCGAATGCGGCTTTATAGTCGACGATGGGTTTTTCGTGGGGTTTTTTCAGTATTTGGCGCAGATTGAAAATCTGGTTAATGGGGATTTTGGCAGGTCTGAACCCGCATTGGTATGGTCCAAAATAATGTAATTGACCATTGGCTTCAATCGTTCACACAGCACACTGGGTAGCACTTTATATGCGATGGGAAGAAGGCTAATTCCTCTACAGTTGGCACATATCGACTTATCTTCTTGTTTGTGTCTTAAAAATTATTTTTTTGTACAATAATTATTTAAAAAAAATCCATATTATTTAAAAAAATTGATTTATTTATTTTTTGTAATTCCGGCACAAAACGCACAAATTACAGGGTGTCACAGAAATAGTTGAAACGGCATAATTAAAATGGGAGAGGGATTATTCCTGTGACACCCTGTTATTTCGATAAATGTCTTATCGATAGTTTGACAACACCGCTAACTTCATGCTTATTTTGATGTTTTTCTTATTTTCCTTTTTTTATACAAGGAACTGCAGCCAGACAGCCAGACATTTGACCCAGACTCGAAGTTTAATTAAAAAATTCCTTTACCGCAACAAAGTGCTGCCCGTTTTTTTTTTGGAAAATCCGCAACATGGAAGAGACTCTTAGCAACGAAACAATTGAAAGCAATGACAATGATGATCTGCTGGCAAAAGAGAAAATAAATCAAAGACGTGAAGCACGTAGACGTAAAATTTTGGAGAATGCCAAAAATCGTTTGGAAAGGTTGAATGGTCGGACCAGTGTTGCTGCTAGTGGTGGTGGTGGTCACAGTGACGAAGCGCCTCTCACCACTGAAAGGCGACAAATTAAAATTGAATATGAACAAATGAATGGTAAGTTTGAATGGGATTGGAGTAGGTTTATGATGTCATAAGGGGGTCGGAGGAGTATGAGGTGGTCATAAAAATAAAAAAATAAAAACGGCGCCGGTTAAGTGATGGCAGGACTGCACGCTAAGATAATTTGAATAAAGTTGGAGGCCATATGCGTAGAGTTATACAATGGAATTGGAAGACCATTTAAAAAATTTGGAACTAATTAAATGTAAACTCTGTTTTTTAGGTCCAACAACAATGACAACAGCAGTAGAATCTGCTGAATTTTCCGATCCTGAAGTAGAACCAGACATTTTACCTCAACAAATGAGTAAGTTTAAAAAATAAAATAACCCCCTGCCTTATTAACAGCAACTCCTATTAACCTTTTATTTTCAGGACAATTTATGCGTGATAGTGCCGGTGGTCCTCCTGGCATTGGTACATTACCCTTTAATAGCTTTGATGCCGGAACATTTCTACAAGATGAAACACCTACCAATGAACTGAATGACCTCTTGAATATGTTCCAAAATGTACCGACTGTCAAGGAACGTCATGTATTGGTTAAGGCCCGTATCCATCTGATAATCTCCGCATTATTGTCGTCAATGTTTGTAATAATATGGCCAGAAATCGGCTATAGCATTTTCATCTTACCCGGTTTGTGTGTCATTACCGATTTACTATTTTTCCGTGAACAAAAACCCCTACATCCAATTTTGAATATGATTTTTATGCTATTCAGCAATCATTTACCGCCTCAGGCCCAAAAGTGCTTACACATATTTACAATTGTCCAGAGTATAATTGTCGATTTGGGTGTATTTGTATTTAGTTTCTGTACGCTATGCTATTTGATATCGTTATGCACGAATAATCAGATTACCGGTCTTATGGTAATTAAATAAGGTTATGAGTTTAGATTTTTTTTCATTTTCTGTCCTCTTCCTCATATTCTTGACCAAATTTTATTTCTACTGATTTTGTGTAATATTTGTAACGTACATTACTTAATTATGTTTTGTTAATAATAATTAAAAAAATAATAAATTATAGAAACCCTATAAATATACAGAAATTAAGGTGACTGACAAAAATTTGTATTTTATTAAGAATTATTTTTTAGGGACAATTGAAAATTTTTGATGGATTTTTTAACAATTTTTTAAGGATCCCTTCAAAAGGCATGATCATAAGCCTGCCATAACTGATAACTCTTTTTCTTCTCCTTCACTCTCTTATTAGAAAACATACCTGAACATGATACTCATAAGTAAAAGCACAACACGAATTGACTGCATTATTGGCGTGGGGGCAAATAACACAGTTTGCACTGGAAAAACATTTTTATTTCATTAATATAATATTTTATATTATTCAGATTATAATAATTTACACTTTTCACGATTATTTTAAACAAGATAATTGCTCGAAACATCGCAATGAACCGAACGCGCCGTTAATGCATATGACAACTAAAGGAAGAAGCAAATTCATGGTGAGACTTGCTTCTCTCTCTCACACTCAGTGATACAAAAGTAATCTTATTGGTTAGAAGAAGAAGCATGATTACTGTCTCATCATGAATTTGCAAACTTATTTTGGCGGGAAAATAACACAACTTGCTTTACAACAATTCACAATTGAAAAACACTTTTATTTCATTAACATATTATTTTATAATATTCAAATTATAATAATTTACACTTTTCACGATTATTTTAAACAAGATAATTTTTGTTTAAACTAAATTAATACGAGACGAAAAGATATTAATAATCCGGGCGCGCCGTTAATAATAATACCAACTGAAGGATAAGGACAAATGAAAGAAATAGTGTTGCCCACACATCAAACAAAAAAACGCTAAAAATATCAATTGGTTTGAACAATGAAATATCAATTGAATCTCTCTCATCATCCACTCTATTACCGAAAAATAGAAGCAAGAGCATATTTTTTGGTAGAAAATTCACGATTTGTGTAATGTATTTTAAAGAAAATCGATTTTATTAAAAAAAAAATAAAATTAAAATATCAATAATTCACATATTATTTTCTTTAATTATTATATTCTAAATAAAAACACAATGGTAACCCAATATTCTCACATCCATACACACAACTCGCTCGACGTACACAGGAGTATAAATTATTACGTTTAATTTAACCAAAAAACTATAAAATTATTACATTCGAGCCGATCAAACCAGATGACAACTGAACGAAGAAACATATGGTACAAAACAGTGATGCCAATACACCAAAAATGAAAACCGTATTTAAAATAGCACAAGTTCTAATGTAGATGACGTTTTAATTGTATTCTATACGCTCCGTTTTATAACGTCACCCTGTCATTCATGTACCGTAAATTGACTTTTTTTGTTCATACTATACACCCAGTGTGTGGTTTTTACATTTTTTGTCTCTCTTCTCTCATGTACGACCGATTGTTGTTGTAACAGCCCCATCGATTTTTAACAATGGGCTGGGGGGACAGACGTAGGAGGAGTAAGACTAGGGTTTTTTTCGGATCGTTCAAACGAACATCGTATGTCGTCTTGTTATTGTACCGTACACCAATATATATTTTATTTTATACAGAACACCCTGTTTGTTTCATTTTCTCTAGATTCCATCAACGAAAGCGTACAAAGAACAGGGCCGCCGTCGTTGACGTCGACAAAATTTAGGCGGCGCAGGTCTCTGGGCATTACTCGACAACTTTCAAACAGCAAACACAGAGGTTTGTGCAAATTTTTGCTAAACAAAAAAAAAAACTAATTAATAATATATTATTTATATACAGAATAAAAGGGAATCACAATCAATCATGACGGTCACAGCAGAAGCCACAGTTAAGGATACTGAAATGGAGGTGGATCCCAGCGATGATACCACAGCCGGTGACGGCAAGAAAGATCAAGATGTGGTGCATATTTTGGAAATACGCGAGCATATTCGCAAAATTGATAAAGCTGTCATAAGCAATGAATACCGGTGAGACAAAAATGGAATACATATTTAATGGTTTAACTAAAATACTGTAATTTGTTTACAGCTTCATTGCCCGTGTCTTGAGAACTCTGCCAAGTACCAGACGTAAATTGAACGGTGCGGTTTTACGTTTCTTGGCCACAATTGTCTACCCACCCGGACCAGAACGTGAAGCTGCTATGGCTTTTGCCCCAGCCGTTGCCGCAGGCAGCCAGGAACCTAAAGTGCAAAAAATACGCACCGCCACCTCCAACCCTATCATTGAAATTGATGCCTATTTCCATTTGTTGTTGTTGGTCAAACTCATCGATGACAATGAATTGCAAAAGGCATCCGCCTGTTCGGATGCTCTCTTGGCCAAGATTCAAGGACAAAATCGCCGTAGTTTAGATTTGATTTTGGCCAAATACTATTTCTATCATTCTCGGGTGGCTGAGTTGACCAACAATTTGGAGGGTATTCGCCCCTTCCTACATGCCCGCTTAAGAACTGCTACCCTACGCAATGATTTTGAAGGCCAGGCTGTACTGCTGAATTGTCTTTTGCGTAATTATTTGCATTATTCCCTCTACGATCAGGCGGATAAATTGGTTAAGAAATCGGTGTATCCCGAATCGGCTAGCAACAATGAATGGGCACGTTTCCTATACTATTTGGGTCGTATCAAGGCAGCCAAATTGGAATATAGTGATGCCCACAAACATTTAGTGCAGGCTTTACGTAAAGCGCCACAAACCGCCGCTGTGGGTTTCCGTCAGACTGTCCAGAAACTGATTATTGTTGTAGAGCTGCTGTTGGGTAACATTCCCGAACGGCAGGTATTCCGTCAGGCAGCACTACGCAAATCTTTGGCTCCTTATTTCCAGCTAACCCAAGCAGTACGTTTGGGTAATTTGAAGCGATTCGGTGAAGTTGTTGAGAATTTCGGACCCAAATTCCAACAGGATCACACCTACACTTTGATCATACGTCTACGTCATAATGTCATTAAGACTGCCATTCGTTCGATTGGCTTGTCCTATTCTCGTATCTCGCCGGCAGATATTGCCAAGCGTTTAATGTTGGACTCCCCGGAAGATGCGGAATTTATTGTGGCCAAGGCAATACGTGATGGCGTCATTGAGGCCACTCTCGATCCGGCCAATAATTTTATGCGTAGCAAAGAAAGTACTGATATCTATAGCACCCGTGAACCCCAACTGGCTTTCCACGAGCGTATTTCGTTCTGTTTGAACTTGCACAATCAAAGTGTTAAGGCTATGCGTTATCCACCCAAGTCGTATGGCAAAGATTTGGAAAGTGCCGAAGAACGTCGTGAACGTGAACAACAGGATTTGGAATTGGCCAAGGAGATGGCTGAGGATGAAGATGATGGTTTCTAAGCTGGGCTTTTATTATGTGAAAAGAGAAGAAAAATAATATCTAAGGCGTTCTTCATACCATTACCCATTTATACAAGAAATTAAATTAACAGTAATTAATAATAAAATAAATAAAAAAAATATATAAAATTATCTCAAATGTTGACATCCTAAAAGTATGCAGTGGATGAAAAAAAATTAGGAGGAACCTCACAAGGCTTGGATTATTTATTTTTAAGGGTCCTTTACAAGACGTGGATTTTTTAAAATAATTTTTTCCGAGCCTCTATAATAGGCGCGGATTTTTTAAATAATTTTTTTTTGGAGACCTCCACAAGGCGTGGATTTTTTAAATAATTTTTTCCGACATCTATAATTTTTTTTTAATTTTCTGTTTTTTTTATTTTATTAAATAAGTGCTTGGAAATGCTTATACATTAACAATAATGATGTTAGATGTAGAATTGTATAAATGTTTACACATTCCATGATTCTGGCTGTTTCTTTTTTCAATGCAATATCGATCGACATCATCCTTCTGCGTCTATATCTATGTACTGTCCATGGGTTCAACGGGGGCTTTTGGCAGCAATTTAGGTCCGTACAACAGAACATAGGCACAATGCCAATCACCACCACCGGATAAACGTAGAATCTCTTCACTTGTCACCGAGGAGACAACATCATCATCAAATTTAAACCACACTTCATCGGTGTGTTTCACCCAGGCCACATAATGGCCAGATGTCGATGAACGTCCTTTGTGTGTTAGTACAGCTTGGAGTGTATAGAATCCAGAATTATTACTACCCAAATCATCTTCAAAATAGTAGGGTTCATATTCCGGTTTGGGTTTCTCTTCACCCTCCTTTAGGACTTTGCTGTCGTCTGTTGCTGCCAAGGGGTCTTTAATAGATTTTTCCAATTTTTTATCTTCTAATTCCTTAAATTTGGCACGTACAGGACACAGTTTGTTTTGTAATTCTGGGGTACACAAATCGAAGGCATCAAAATCGAGCGGGAATTTAATGTCCTTTAAAACCTTGGCATTAATACCCTCTTTACCTTTGTATTGGAATCGTACAAAATTAATTGTTAAATAGGCAGGCAGACGGCTGATTAAATACTGGAAGAAAAAATGGTTCAGGGATTTTTTGAAAGCTGTTTTTTTTTTAATTTCAAGTCAGTCCTACCGATCTTGTATAGTTGGCATCTCTTCCCAGAGATTCGGAACGTTTCACTAATGTCTCCGTGAGTTTGGATTTCAAACCGCTATGCATGTATTTGACCTCGGGCGAAATAAAACAACTTAACTGCAAAAAGTTTTCCTTAGATGTGGTGGTTTCCTCTTCGGGTGCCTCGCTACAACTCATTTTCACCTCAAAGGTACCACCGAAATATTGTTCTATAAAGGAACTACAAAAAACACATTTAGTAATTAATTAAATTATAAATCGAAAAATCGTACTTATATTTCTTTAGCTCCTTCTTCTCACTCTCATCATCTCCCCCAGCTCCGGTCAATTTATTGGATGCTGGCAGCTTTTGTTGTAACATTTTCAGTAATTCCGACCAACATTCATTGGCATCCTGTTGGCGATATGTACCATTTTCCCCGGTTTGGGCAAATTGTGGAAAGGCCCTGTGCAGTGTACCCAACAAGACAAATGGTGTTACCGTACTACCGGTACGTTCCATTTGCTTAAACAGAAATTTCATGGCCGATGTAATGGCCAGGGGCATTGAATCGGCATCAGCCGTTTCTACACGGAAATTATCTAAAGCCTCACGTAGCTCAGGGATGGCTCGCAAACACTGCAGAGTGGCATTCATGTAGCAGGTATTGCCCAAATTTGTGAGGCCAGCGGGTACTTCCATCTAAAAAAACAAAAATTATTTAAAATCCCACAATTAACAGAAATTATAGACTTACAGCTGTGGCCATTTCCGCTTCATTCATATCCTCTATGAATTTAACTTGTTCCACGGGTTTTTCGGGAACTTGCTCCTTTGTGCCAAGGAGTAATATGGTGGCTCCCTATAAAAACACACACAATTAACATGTATTTCATTATTTTTTACTTTTTATACTATTCCAATCACCTCTTTGATTTGTAAATTCCACTGGTCATCCTTTAATATGCCACCCTTACACATAACCTTTTGTCTATCGGGAGCCACTCCCGTCAATGCAAACAGTTGGGCCTTAAATAAAATCGGTTCCTCATCTGTGTTAACTTCAATATCAGGGAACATTTCACGGCCCCATTTAACTTTGACTGCAATACACAAAAAAACAAAGTCAAACAAGGTTTGCAAAAAAATTGTGCAAAATTTTTCCTGTCGACATTTGCCTACCTTTGAATTGTGGCATTTTTGTTGTATTATCTGTTTGTTTCTTCTATATATATATAATTGGCTTTTTATAACTAAACTCTTTTTTAAAAAAAATTCTACTATAATACAATATTTAACAAAGATTTAAATATTTTTTCTCTGCAGCTGCTGCTAGACTGCTACTACTCGGCAAAATGACAATTGAAAATTTAAAAGTCATGCAATGACCAAAACTCTCAAAAAACGTTCCATCGGCTATAAATGGGGGATGTAAAAATGGCCGATAAAGAAGGTACGCAAAGTGAAAAATGGAAAATTTACGAATGAGGTGTAATGGATGGATAACGTTTGAGCGTATTGTTGCGAAAAAAGGGACAAAGAGATTGGCTGATTAAGGATACCGCCAGTCAGATGAGCATGCAATGCACACCTAACCACTAGAAAAACGTTCCATATGCTACAAATGACCGATCTATTGAAAAAACGTTCCAAACATATGCAAAACGTTCCCTTTTGCTACTAATGACTAATCGAAACTAAAAACGTTCCAAGCGTTGTTAATATAGGAGAAACAGGAGAGAATGACCGATAAGCGTGGTTTTATATTTGTCGGGATCGGGATCGGTGTTGAGAGTTTCTCTCCCTTGAGAGAGTAATTAGAGTTGCGCTATTTTTAATTTTGTAACAAGCGTACTTTTTGTTCACAAAAGGTACGAATTGACATAAACGTACCAAAACAAAAATTAGATTTTTTTATTATTCGTGAATACATTTACGCTTAAATTATAACATATATTATTTACGCATATAACAGGTATACATATTGACCAATATTTCTCGGTAATTATGATTTATTATCATTTGAAGTAGAATTTTAGGTACCTTTTCGTACTTTTTTGTTCCTACCTGTGTTAATGTTTTCCAACACAATTCACAATTTACCACTGAGAGGGAGAGAAACTCTCAACACCGATCCCGATCCCGACAAATATAAAACCACGCTAAATACCAAAATTAAACGAAAATGATGGCTCTCGTCGTGTTTAGATGAAACAGGCATAGAACGAAGGAAAGGAACAATGTGAAAAGAAACACAACAGGGTGACATTGCAAAGCGCATGGACAAATTGGCCCGGGACAATTAAAATAACAGAGAAATTGAAGAATTAATTATTAAATTGATAAAAAATTAGTTGACTAAAAATATAATAGTATAATTTATATGTATAAAAATATAAAATAAATAATTATTTCGAGATATTAACAGTTCGTTTCATCAGGGTGATTTTAGGAAGTGAATAGACAATTTGACCCAGGTCAATAAATTAACAGGGGAATTGAATAATAATTAATTAAATTTATAACAAAAATTAGTTTATTAAATACAACAATAATATAATTTATATGTATAAAAATATTTAATTATTTTGATATATTAGTAGTTTGTTTTATCATTAATACAATTTTTCCAATATTCGCAACACGGCGTTCATTTCTCATTGCACGACTTCGTTTCACAAAAGACAAATAGTTGACGAAGAATTTAAACAGCAATTAATGAATAGAATAATAACAAAATAACTAATTAAATATAATAATATATAATTTAAATATATAATAACATAAAATAATTAATTATTATGAGATTTTCACAGTTAATTTTAACATTAAAAATAATAAAACTACATTGTGCCATTTAGTTTTAATGTTGGCAACACTGCCATGCAATCTATCAGTTGTCAGTTACCTTGACGGCTCTCATATGCAAATGCACGCTTTCGTTGGAAAATGTTTAAATGAAACGAAATCTATTTGTTTAAATAAACTAACAAAAAAATTACAGTAATTATTTAAATAATCCTTAATAAAATATTTAAAAAATAAAAGTGATTTCATTACTAATTTATTGGCTAATAGTGTTTTCGTTAATTGCCACAAAAGAAATGGCGCATATTGGTTGTGTGTGTGTGTGAGAGAGAGAGTGGTGGCCTAGAAAAAATATACGAAAATAATGAAATATTTTGATATAAATATAATAAAATAAGTGAGTAATTCCTTATTTATTAATACCTAGCGAGTAAATTTGGAAACAATGCAGTTTTAATGAAAAAAAATTTGGGCAAACTCTTCCCCGCTCGCGAGTTCGTTCTTGCAAAGAGAGAGAGAGACCGACAAAATCACTTTGTATTATTGCTGTTAACGCTTTTTTACATTTATCATCATAGACAACACTGCAGTGCGGTTTTGACAGTTGTCATCGAGCCGGCCGCTTGTTTGCACTTTCGTTTGGAAATATTAAAATTAGAAGAAATATTTAATTAAAATTTATCGGAATCGTGTAAAATACATTAAATTATATTAATATCAATCAATGTTAACAAAATAAACAGAATTTAAAAGTGTTTTCAAAGATAAATCATTGAAAATATCATATCTTGTTTTGCCACAAATGAGATGACCGATCATGTTGTATATGTGCGTATTCGTGTGTGTGTGTGTGCTAATAAGAAAAAAAGCAAAGCGGTCCCTTGGCAAAATGATATAATGCAAGAAATATATGAAAAAGTTTAAAGAAATTTGGAAATTAAAAGAAAAAAATAAGATTTGTTCTAATTTAATGAAAATAAAGGTTAATAAAAATTAAATTTTGTGAGAAAATTCATATGAAAAATAAAAGTGTTTTCTAGTGCTCCTGTCCAGAGTTTCTTTCTAAATAGAAAAATTAAAATGTAATAAAATCAAAAATGAAATTAAATAAATAATAACAAAATAAAAGTTTAGTATATAAAAATGTAATAAAATAATACAAAATTAATATGAAATAAATAATAATAGTGTTTTCAATTGAAATGAAAATTTGTGTTACAGGAGCAAATCCGTTCATGATTTGCTTACGAGCCGAGATGGCAGATCATGTTGTATATGTGCGTGTTCGTGTGTGTGTGTGTGCTAATAAGAAAAAAGACGTCTCTTGGCTGAGGGAAATTAATTTGCAAAAAATTTATGAAAAAGTTTAAAGAAAATTAAGGAAACAAATTAAGATTTATTTAAAATAAATGAAAAAATTCAATAAAAAATAAAATTTTCGCTTTTGTTACAAAAAATGCATGAGCTATGTTCGTTTGATTGAGATGAGAGAAAATGACATATATTTTGTTTAATTGTCATTCATATAAAAAATAAAAGTGTTTCAGCTGTTATTAACAAAATAAATATGCAATTTTATTTTAAATTTAATTCTAAATGAAAGAAAAGTGAAATGAAACTGTTAAACGATTTTTACCTGTATCCAATTTCCTTGAGCTAACTCTTATTGGAAATAATCAAGTTCATCAGTGTTGCAGAGAAAAAGGTACGTTTGTAACGATATTTATAAATATTCAAAAATTGCATACAGTAATTTCTGCTGTACCATTTATAACCGTGATTTTTAATATGCACATATAATATTTTTAAGTTTTTATATTAAATTAATTAAAACATATTTATGAAGTCAGTCCTTTCATCACATAATATATGGGGTTCTTAATATGTTTATATATTCCACATTAAATATTTATTAAATTAAAAAGTTTTAGTATTTATTCTGAAACCTATTTCGTTATTCAACGTTTTTATTTGTTATAAAAACGAGAAGTTTTGTCGTTTTAATTGACATTGACAACACTGTTACTTACTCACCTCCATATTCAGCTGTCAAACGGCAAACGGTTGCTCATTGTGTACTGTTAACTTAAAATTACACTTCTAATATAAAAAAATCAATTTAACGAAATTATGACGCCGAAAAAATATATTTAATTATTAATTAATAATTTTTTATTTATTTTCAATTCTTATGTTATGATTTGCGTGTATTTACCCATTTCATAAAAATAATAAGTGTTTTATTTCGTTTTCCAACATTGACAATACTGTTACTTGCTCATCTCTCTTATTTAGTTGTCAACGGCGCAAACGGTTATGCTCAGTGTGTGTGGGATTAATTTTTAATTTAAGTTAAAATTAAAAATTCATGAACGTAAATGATTGAAAAAGTGGAAATAATATAAAAATATATAAAAGTTAATAAAATAATTGTGAAATAAAAGAGTTATCAATTGCAATTGATTGCAAACAAATGTAACTGCTTTATTTTTGTGCCCAAACCAGATTAGTTGTCATTCTTTGCGTATGTGACAGACACAAGACTATGTGTGAGAGAGAAAGGCTTTGGTTACTGTAGCCGATGAGTAGTAACAGTGTCTCTTGTCAGTTGTTTGTTATTGTTGTTTAATCGTTGATGATGAAGTGAATTGTAATATATTGCAAACTATAGAACAAAATGTATTTGTTTTTTTTATATGTTATTTCAAATATGTTATGTGTTGGTTCATGATAATGTTTCTTGTCTATATTTGCTAATGACATGATTTGGTTTGTTTATGTGTTTAGTTGACGTCGTTTATCCATTGGTGATGAAGTGCCTTGCAGTATATTGCAAATAAAACAAATCAAATAAATTACCTTTACAAAAATAAATTATTAAAAAATGTCTGAATAATATTCAAAGGTAAAATGTGAAAATATAAGCGAATTTCTATTATAAAGCGTGGAAAAATATAAAAAAGCCTTGCCCTAGCTTGTATATGTTGTGAGTTTGTTCATGATGATATTTCTTGTCATCCTTTGCTAAAGACATGACTTGGTAAGTGTGTGAGAGCAGCTTATCAGTATTTTGTTGTCGGTGTTTAACCAACCACTGAACATGAAGGCAAATAAAGAACTTTTTTCCAACGCAAATTATTAAAAGAAGTGTGATTTATATTAAAGTATAACATAATATATGGAATGAATGTGAAATACAAGTGTTTTTTAATTGTAAAGGTGGAAAAAATATAAATATTATTTTCGCGCCATAAATCTTGTCACATTTTGCATATGTAGTGAGTTTGTTTATGAGAATGAGAGAGTGGGTGTTCTGCCAATTTTAAGTTATGACAGTGTCTATTCAGTTGAGCATATTTATTAAAGAATTGAATAAATTTGTAAATGATATGGAAATTTATAATAATTAATAAAAGAATTGTGAATTAAATGCAAATTCATTAAAAACAAATTGTCACACTTTCCATGTGTCATAAGCTAATTTATGACAGTGAGAGAGGGACAACGGTTTTATGTTTATTGTGACAGTGTCCACTGACTAGGGGGCGTAGTTCAATTGTGCGCGTTGTTTTATTAAAGATTATCAAAATAATAATAAATGCCTGCCCTAATGATTAAAAAATAATATAAAAATGTATAATAATAAGAGAAAAAAAAAGAAAAGAAAAATTATAATAATAAAAGAGAAAAGAGCTTTCAATAGTAAACCAAAAAAGGCTTTTTTACGCGCCAAAAACATCTTGTTCTACTTTGCACATATCATGATTTCGTTTATGAGAATGACAGAGAGAGCGAATTTACGTCAATTGTGAATAGTGACAGTGACTATTCAGTGGACTCTGTTCAATTGTGTGTTGTTTTAATTAATATAGTCAAATATAATAAAAGGTTGTGAGAGAGACAACGGCTTTGTGCTAATTGTGACAGTGTGTGTGGGCGCAGTTCAATTGTGTGTGTGTTGTTAAAGATTATCAAATATAACAATTTTTATTGCCTTCAATGATTAAAAAATATAAATGAGATTAAAATTTATAATAAAAAAATAACAATAAAAGAGAAAAGTGTTTTCAATAGTAAAACAAAAAAGTATAATTTTTTACGCGCAAAAAAACAAAAGTAAAATATTTTTCTACTTTGATTTCGTTTATGAGAATGACAGAGAGAGCGAGTTTTCGTCAATTGTGAGGAGAGACAGTGACTATTCAGTGAAAGCTGGTCAATTGTGCTTTGTAAAATCATAAAATTAACAACCTTAAAGGTTTTAAAAAAAAGTGAATAATATTAAAAATTCAAATAATTAAGAAAAAAGAAGTTTGAATTAAAAAGTCTCTTAAAAAGTATAAAAAAGAAAAGAAAGTTATTTTCGCGCCAAAAAAAATCTTGTCACACTTTGCATATGTCATCAGGTGTGACAGTTACTATTCAGTGGGCGCTTTTCAATTGCGTGTTATACAAAAGATTATCAAATACGACCACATATACTGCCTTAAATGATTAAATAAATTGTGAATAATATAATATTAATAATATAATATTAAAATTTATAAAAATTATTAAACAAATTGTAAACTTAAAGTGTTTTCGATTAAAAAACCAAAATTAACTTTTTATGTGCCAAAAACAATCTTGCCCGTTCTGTGACATAGGTCTGCTTTTCGACATGAAGGGGAATGAACAAGTGGAAATAATATTAAAAAAATAATATAATAGCATAATAAAGGAATTTTTGATTTAGTTGCTGCCCATATTTTTGTATTTATTACAATTATCCTATAAGGATAATTTTTGGTCCTTCGATTGGGAGACATTTTAATTATCAAATAATCCCTGTTGATATTCTCAAATGAAGACCCTAAATCTATTCCAAACGGCCGTTCCATGTTTATGTTTCCAAAGTAGACTTACATCCCTAACAATTTTTTTAATCCCCCCAACGTTTTCCTCTTAATAAATCTTCATATTAGATAATAAACAAGAAATAAAAAATCACAAAGTAGCGAATTCAATTTATTATATTGGAGTACAATAAACCAATTAAGTAAATTGAAAGAAAAAAGCGGCACAATAGAATCATGTAACATTATATGACACGGCAACCCAGTTTCTCTTTCGATTTTCAAACCCCTTTATTATAATCTGTCGTTTATTGACTGGACATGGTAACCCTGGCTCTTATCATAACACTTGAAACGTTCTGCCTGCCTTCATGTCTCGCGTAATAGTTTATAACAAGTAAATTTTATTTTAGTTAGTTTTTAGTCCACAACAATTTAGTCTTAGTTCAATTATCAAAGTGATAACATAAACAACGCTTCCGAAGCTGCCTAATCTGGGAAAATGTTAAGATTACCTAGTTTTATCAGACCAGTTGGACGGCAATTGCGTACATTTACCACCAGTTCAAGTGGCAATTGGGCTAAATCGTCTGGCAGCAGTGATCAGGAACCACCATCATCACCCAATAATGATGAGAATCCAATGTCAAGAACTTTTAATATTTTAAAATCGGATCTAAACAAATTCACCGATAAGTTTAGAAGCAATAAATCCAGCACCCCGACATCTTCCGTGGCGGAAGAAGTGAGTGATGCCGAGAAGTTGAAACGTTTTGAAGGTGACCACCATGGTGCGGGTGGTGCTGAAGATATTTTCCAAACCCATTGTGATGTTTTGGTTATTGGTGGTGGTGGTGTCGGCTCCTCGGTGGCCTATTGGCTCAAGCAAAGGGCCAGGGATGGTCTAAATGTTGTCGTTGTGGAAAAAGACTCAACGGTAAGTAGACAACAAACAAACAGACTGGATTTTATCAGTTATAACTTATTTAATCAACAATTAATTTGAAGTGTTTTTTTATTTTCATTTTGATTTTTTTAGTATGAACGTGCCTCTACAGTCTTATCAGTTGGCGGTTTACGCCAACAATTCTCCCTGCCGGAAAATATACAAATGTCTTTGTATGGTGCAGATTTTATGCGGGATGTAAAGGAGCATTTGGGTGATGATGTTGAATTGAATTTCACACCGCACGGTAATGATAATCGCATTGTGCATTGTGGGTGTTTTATTATTAATTGCTAATTTTTATTGTTGTTTTTTTATAGGTTATCTGGTGCTGGCCTCCGAGGAAGGTGCTGAAACATTGACGCGCAATTCGAAATTACAAAATGAATTGGGTGCCCGTAATGAATTATTAAATGCCAATCAATTGAAAGCAAAATTCCCTTGGATCAATACAGAGGGTATTGTTTTGGGTAAGTGGGTGGGAAGCAAATGAGGGCCTTCAAATAATTTCTTCGAGTCGTGGATTTTTTAAGTAATTTTTCAGGGGTCTATACAAGGCGTGGATTTCTTAAAGAATTTTTCTCTGAGAGTCTACAAAAGGCGTGGATTTTTTTAAAGAATTTTTTTCTGAGGGCCTACAAAAGGCGTGGATTTTTTTAAAGAATTTTTTTCTGAGGGTCTACAAAAGGCGTGGATTTTTTAAAGAATTTTTTTCTGAGGGTCTACAAAAGGCGTGGATTTTTTAAAGAATTTTTTTCTTAGGGTCTACAAAAGGCGTGGATTTTTTAAAGAATTTTTCTCTGAGGGTCTACAAAAGGCGTGGATTTTTTAAAGAATTTTTTTCTGAGGGTCTACAAAAGGCGTGGATTTTTTAAAGAATTTTTTTCTGAGGGTCTACAAAAGGCGTGGATTTTTTAAAGAATTTTTTTTTTTTTCTGAGGGTCTACAAAAGGCGTGGATTTTTTAAAGAATTTTTTTCTGAGGGTCTACAAAAGGCGTGGATTTTTTAAAGAATTTTTTTCTGAGGGTCTACAAAAGGCGTGGATTTTTTAAAGAATTTTTTTCTGAGGGTCTACAAAAGGCGTGGATTTTTTAAAGAATTTTTTTCTGAGGGTCTACAAAAGGCGTGGATTTTTTAAAGAATTTTTTTCTGAGGGTCTACAAAAGGCGTGGATTTTTTAAAGAATTTTTTTCTGAGGGTCTACAAAAGGCGTGGATTTTTTAAAGAATTTTTTTCTGAGGGTCTACAAAAGGCGTGGATTTTTTAAAGAATTTTTTTTTTTTCTGAGGGTCTACAAAAGGCGTGGATTTTTTAAAGAATTTTTTTCTGAGGGTCTACAAAAGGCGTGGATTTTTTAAAGAATTTTTTTCTGAGGGTCTACAAAAGGCGTGGATTTTTTAAAGAATTTTTTTCTGAGGGTCTACAAAAGGCGTGGATTTTTTAAAGAATTTTTTTCTGAGGGTCTACAAAAGGCGTGGATTTTTTAAAGAATTTTTTTCTGAGGGTCTACAAAAGGCGTGGATTTTTTAAAGAATTTTTTTCTGAGGGTCTACAAAAGGCGTGGATTTTTTAAAGAATTTTTTTCTGAGGGTCTACAAAAGGCGTGGATTTTTTAAAGAATTTTTTTCTGAGGGTCTACAAAAGGCGTGGATTTTTTAAAGAATTTTTTTCTGAGGGTCTACAAAAGGCGTGGATTTTTTAAAGAATTTTTTTCTGAGGGTCTACAAAAGGCGTGGATTTTTTAAAGAATTTTTTTCTGAGGGTCTACAAAAGGCGTGGATTTTTTAAAGAATTTTTTTCTTTTTCTGAGGGTCTACAAAAGGCGTGGATTTTTTAAAGAATTTTTTTCTGAGGGTCTACAAAAGGCGTGGATTTTTTAAAGAATTTTTTTCTGAGGGTCTACAAAAGGCGTGGATTTTTTAAAGAATTTTTTTCTGAGGGTCTACAAAAGGCGTGGATTTTTTAAAGAATTTTTTTCTGAGGGTCTACAAAAGGCGTGGATTTTTTAAAGAATTTTTTTCTGAGGGTCTACAAAAGGCGTGGATTTTTTAAAGAATTTTTTTCTGAGGGTCTAAAAAAGGCGTGGATTTTTTAAAGAATTTTTTTCTGAGGGTCTACAAAAGGCGTGGATTTTTTAAAGAATTTTTTTCTGAGGGTCTACAAAAGGCGTGGATTTTTTAAAGAATTTTTTTCTGAGGGTCTACAAAAGGCGTGGATTTTTTAAAGAATTTTTTTCTGAGGGTCTACAAAAATTATTTTTTAAAGAATTTTTTTCTGAGGGTCTACAAAAGGCGTGGATTTTTTAAAGAATTTTTTTCTGAGGGTCTACAAAAGGCGTGGATTTTTTAAAGAATTTTTTTCTAAGGGTCTACAAAAGGCGTGGATTTTTTAAAGAATTTTTTTCTGAGGGTCTACAAAAGGCGTGGATTTTTTAAAGAATTTTTTTCTGAGGGTCTACAAAAGGCGTGGATTTTTTAAAGAATTTTTTTCTGAGGGTCTACAAAAGGTCTCCAAAAAAATTATTTAAGGAATCCGAGCCTTATGTAGGTCTCCAAAAAAATTATTTAAGGAATCCACGCCTTATGAAGGTCTCCAAAAAAATATTTAAAAAATCATAAGGCGTGGATTTTTTAAATAATTTTTTGGAGACCTGCATAATGCGCCGATTTTTATTTATTTTTAAATAATTTGAAGAATTTTTTTTAATTTTTATTTTCTCTCTCCCCATTTCCAGGTTGCCATGGTCTGGAGAAAGAAGGCTGGTTCGACCCTTGGGCCCTGCTGATGGGCTATAAAAAACGTGCCAAACAATATGGTGCTCATTTCGTAAATGGCGAAGTTGTCGGTTTTGAATTGAAGGAACAACCCGATATAATTGTACGAGGCAATACGGAAGGTGATTATCAGGCTTTGGATAAGGTGGTCATAAAAATGCCCGATGGAGAGACAAGGACCATTAAATTTGCCATTTGTGTTTTGGCTGCTGGTGCCTTTTCAGGACATATTGCCCGAATGGCAAATATTGGTATGGGCAAAGGCTTATTGGCTTTCCCTCTACCAGTAGAACCCCGGAAACGTTATGTATATGTTATAAATACACAAGGCCAAAATGCTCCCGGTTTGGGTACCCCCTTAACTGTGGATCCATGTGGTACATATTTCCGACGTGATGGATTGGGTGGCAACTATTTGTGTGGTCGCAGTCCGACATATGAGCAAGAACCCCCCATCGATAATCTTGATGTGGATCATGAATATTTTGAAACAGATATCTGGCCAAGTTTGGCAAATCGCTGTAAAGCCTTTGAATCCGCCAAAGTGGTGAATTGTTGGGCTGGCTATTATGAATATAATGTATTCGATGAGAATGGCATTATCGGAGCTCATCCATATTATAATAATATGTTGATTGCCACCGGTTTTAGTGGTCATGGTATACAACAAACCCCGGCGGTGGGTCGAGCCATATCGGAGCTGATTATTGATGGACAATTTCGTTCAATTGATTTGTCCCGGCTAGGGTTTGATCGTATTGTCGTGGACCGGCCAATGTTTGAGACAAATATTGTTTAGCAGGAGGGGCCTGGAGGAGAGCGTTTTTTGCGGAATGTGATCAAAGGCTATAAATAAATTGTTAAAGATTTTTTTAAATAAATTTTAGGATTAAAAAAAAACAAAAACAATTTGTTGGGCATTTTGTTATTAACTTTTAAATGTTGTTTACACAATAAACATAATTAATTATTTTTTTAAATAAAAATTGTGACTAAATATTGTTTGTAGCATGCGGACTCATTTAAATTGTCCTGGAGCTGGTCCAAATAGCCCACCACCCTGCTTGCTGGCCGCTCTGGATGGTGCAAAGCCCAATAGCTTTTGTATATTCTGGCGAATGGACATTGTGCACAGGATATAAAGGAAAATAAATGAACAATCGGTGTAATCATCACCGGACAGATTGCGATGACTTAGGCCTTGAATCCATGAAATGGGTGTAAAGGGTAATTGGGCAACCACACGACCATCAAAGCTATACAACGGAGAAGAAGAAAAACAAATTGTTTATTTATTGTGTGTGGGTGGGAGGTGGAGGAGGTACCGTTCGGCCCTCTGTTGTTAACTTACATGCTATTGAACATGCTCAATAGAGCTGTAAAGGCAAAACCTGTTGCAAACATCGATTTCATTTTTACCAAAGACAAATCTCGGTTATTGTTCTTCAATTTCTCCTCATCACGTTCGATTTTTTTCTTTTGATGTTTGTCCAACGATTCGCCATGGATTTCTTTGCGTCGTTCCACTGCAAATAAAAATAATATTTTTTTTTATTGAAATTTATAGATTTATTGTGTTTGTGTGGGCATATTAAAAAATAATTTTTTAATCTAATCTCGAAAAAAAAATTAAAACAAATTATAATTTGTTTACACTAATTAAAATTGTGCCCCATACAGCTGAGCTTCTTCACGCATTTAACAGATGAAGTGGTTGAATTTCACAATTTTAATAAATTAGGGCAGTAAAGATTTAAATATGGAGACTGCATCTAAATAAAAATTAATTTTAGAAATATTAAAAAATAAAATTTTTAAAATAATCTTTTCCGAAACCTACATAAGGCGTGGATTTTTTAAATAATTTTTTGAGCTCTACAAGAGGCGTGGATTTTTTAAATATTTTTTTTGAGCTCTACAAGAGGCGTGGATTTTTTAAATTATTTTTTAAGCTCTACAAGTGGCGTGGATTTTTTAAATTATTTTTTTAAGCTCTACATAAGGCGTGGATTTTTTAAATATTTTTTTTCAATCCTCTAAAAATGTTCCGCAGTGTAATCAGTTTGTCCCCCTCCTCTCTCCTTTGTTATTGTTCTTTTTTATGTATGTTTTGACATGCTTCCGCTTTGGCACTTTCAATTAATTGCTCATCGATTATCCACATGCAACAAAGGACAGTGAAAGTCCTTCTGTGGCATTAGGGGAGGTTGCAGAAAAAAACAAAAGGTTTTGTTGTTGTTATGTCTATGGCAAAACAGACACAACATAAATACTAATATATTCTGATGTGACCTAGTCCAAATAAAAATAAAGGGAAAATTGCAAATAAAACTGGCGATTCGATTTTTCAATACCCTGCACTCACTAAGAGGAAATATTTTTTTGAAGACCTATATAAGGCCTGAACTTTTAAAACCATTTTTGGAGACCTACAAGAGGCGTGGATTTTTTAAATAATTTTTTTGGAGACCTACATAAGGCGTGGATTTTTTAAATAATTTTTTTTTTTGAGACCTATACAATTTTTTTGGACACCTACATAAGGCGTGGATTTTTTAAATAATTTTTTGGAGACCTACATAAGGCGTGGATTTTTTAAAAAAAAATTTTTGGAGACCTACATAAGACGTGGATTTTTTAAATATTTTTTTTTTTTGAGACCTAAACAATTTTTTGGATACCTACATAAGGCGTGGATTTTTTAAATAATTTTTTTTGGAGACCTAAACAATTTTTTGGATACCTACATAAGGCGTGGATTTTTTAAATATTTTTTTTTGGAGACCTACATAAGGCGTGGATTTTTTAAAAAAATTTTTTTGGAGACCTACATAAGACGTGGATTTTTTAAATAATTTTTTTTGGAGACCTAAACAATTTTTTGGATACCTACATAAGGCGTGGATTTTTTAAATAATTTTTTTGGAGACCTACGTATGGCGCGGATTTTTTAATTATTTTTTTTTGAGACCTATACAATTTTTTTGGACACCTACATAAGGCGTGGATTTTTTAAATAATTTTTTGGAGACCTACATAAGGCGTGGATTTTTTAAAAAAAATTTTTTGGAGACCTACATAAGACGTGGATTTTTTAAATAATTTTTTTTGGAGACCTAAACAATTTTTTGGATACCTACATAAGGCGTGGATTTTTTAAATAATTTTTTTTTTGGAGACCTAAACAATTTTTTGGATACCTACATAAGGCGTGGATTTTTTAAATAATTTTTTTTGGAGACCTACATAAGGCGCGGATTTTTTAATTATTTTTTTTGGAGACCTATACAATTTTTTTGGAGACCTACATAAGGCGTGGAATTTTTAAATAATTTTTTTTTGAGACCTACGTAAGGCCTGGAATTTTTAAATAATTTATTTTGGAGACCTAAACATTTTTTTTGGAGACCTACGTAAGGCCTGGATTTTTTAAATAATTTTTTATTTTTTGAGACCTAATCAATTTCTTGTGGACCTACATAAGGCGTGGATTTTTTAAATAAATTTTTTGGAGACCATGGGATTTTTTTAATCATTTATTTCGATAATTTAAAAAAAAATTTTGGAGACCTACATAAGGCGTGGATTTTTTAAATAAATTTTTTGGAGACCATGGGATTTTTTTAATCATTTATTTCGAAAATTAAAAAAAAAATTTGGAGACCTACATAAGGCGTGGATTTTTTAAATAATTTTTTTGGAGCCCTAAACATTTTTTTGGGAGGCCTACGGAAGGCGTGGATTTTTAAAAAAAAAATTTTGGAGACCTAAACAATTTTTTTGGATACCTACAAAATAAATAATTTTTTTTGAGACCTACGTAAGGCCTGGAATTTTTAAATAATTTATTTTGGAGACCTAAATAATTTTTTGGAGACCTACGTAAGGCCTGGATTTTTTAAATATTTTTTTTTTTTTGAGACCTATACAATATTTTTGGAGACCTAAACAATTTTTTGGGGACCTACATAAGGCGTGGATTTTTTAAATAAATTTTTTGGAGACCATGGGATTTTTTTAATCATTTATTTCGATAATTTAAAAAAAAATTTTGGAGACCTACATAAGGCGTGGATTTTTTAAATAATTTTTTTGGAGACCTACAAAAGGCGTGGATTTTTTAAATAATTTTTTTTGAAGACCAAGGGATTTTTTTAATCATTTATTTGGATAAATTAAAAAGAAAATTGGAGACCTACATAAGGCTTGGATTTTTAAATACATTATGTAGGGTATAGCACCATAAAAGGTCAACACAACTTCACATGCCGAACTTCGTGTTTATTAATTTACAAAAAACAAAAACAACAACAACAAAATGAGGAACTCAAAACATGTGTCATATTATGCAGTAGGCAGACACACATAAGTTTCTAGAAATTCCTTGTTACCCTCCAGTTTCTTTAAAGGTACCCCAACCAACCACCTTCCTACTCTCACCCCTAGGATAACCACCAAAAAATTGTAACGTCTGGTTAAAACGTTAAAATGTTGTTGCCCATGGCAACCGGCAACTGTTCGGAATAAACAAACTCATGCTTCAGCACATAAAACTAAATAAAGGATATGACATTAAATACATTTTATTCAAATAAAAAGGAAGTGTGAGCAAAAAAATAGAAAATTCCAAAAATAAATCTTCAAAATTTTTTAAAAAATAAAATTTGTAAAGATTTTTTTCATGCAAAATAGTGTTAAATAAAATAATTATAAACCATGTTCCCACAATCGGAATTGGAAAATTATAAACTGCAAGTGGAATTGTTGCAAGAAAAATTACAAAGAAGGTAATTTTGAAAAAAATTGTTATGTGAAAAAAGTGAATAATTTTTTGGTATTTTTCTTTTTCTAAAGTGAAATATCACGCCAACAATTAGAGCATAAATTGGATAAGATTTTACAAAAACGTGATGAACAGTAAGTAGAAATTCAAATTTCATTATTTCATTTTCAATATTCCTTCATTGAGGTATACGGAAGGATTATTCACCCTGTGACCTTAGCGTGACTTGTATAATAAATACTAAATTCCTTTATTTTCGATATAAAAATTCTCGAGGAAGCATGACTTTCTCTTAAAAAATTTACTTCAATTTAAAAAAAAAAAAAAAAAAAAAAAATTGAGCCAATTTTTTTATTATTATTATCTAACTTTATCTTGCCCATAAAATTGGGAGAGTTTAAAGTTTTAATAGAATAAATATACTTTTTATATGCATAGATGAATTTTTCGTGATGTTTTTCTGGTGTAGATAAATTATTTGCAATGTTTAGATAACGTAGATAATTTATCTTAGCTTCATTTGTGAAGTAGATAAATAATTTATATTGTTGCGCCAGTGAAAATATGTTTTCTGTGGTGTTTGGGCACTGTAGATAAACATTCACAATGTTTAGATAACCTAGGTAATTTATCTAAGCCATTTTTTATAAAGTAGATAAATAATTTTTATTGTTGATAGTGAAAATCGGCATAGATGCATTTTCCGTGATGTTTTTCGATTATAGATAAATTATTTGCAACGTTAAGATAACGTAGATAATTTATCTTAGCTTCATTTATGAAGTAGATAAATAATTATATATTGTTGGGCCAGTGAAAATATGTTTTCTCTTGTGTTTGGATACTGTAGATAAACATTCGTAATGTTTAGATAACCTAGATAATGTATCTAAGCAATTTTTATAGAGTACATATAAGTAATGTATATTGTTAAGGCAGTGAAAATAGGCATAGATGTATTTTTCGTGATGATTTTCGGGTGAAGATAAATTATTTGCAATGTTTAGATAACCTAGATAAATTATCTGAGTTCATTTTTATAATGTAGTTAAATAATATACATTATTATTATGTTGTAAACATCCCATTCGCGATGTTTTGATACTGTAGATAAATTATCCATAGAGTTTAGATAATATAGATAATTTATCTGAGCCATTTTTGTGAATTAAATAGAAAATAAATTAGAAATTACACTTTCCGTTATGTTTTGATACTGTACATAAAATATGAGTTAATTTATCTGAGCAGTTAAAACGATGTAGATATGTTCAGAAATGATTATATACATTATTTATGGTATTTTAATGGTGTAGATAAATTATCTATGACATCTGAATGATGTAGATAATTTATCTGATCAGTTTAAATGATGTAGATATGTTCAGAAAAGTGTAGATACATTATCTCTGGTATTTCTATTGTGTAGATAAATTATCTACGGCATTTGAATGATGTAGATAATTTATCTGAGCGGTTAAAACGTTGTAGATATGTTCAGCAATGATTAGATACATTATCTATGGTATTTTTGTAGTGTAGATAAATTATCTATGAACTTTGACTGATATAGATAATTTATCCGAGTTATCTAAGCAGCTTGCATAATGTAGGTAAAATATTTTTTTTACAAATTTTTGGGTATTTAGTATAGTATTCGTGATGTAGATAATTTATCTGAACATTTTGCATAATGCCAATAATTTATCTGAGCAGTTTAAATAATGTAGATATGTTCAGAAAAGTGTAGATACATTATATGTGGTATTTTTATGGTGTAGATAAATTATCTACCCGCATTTGAAGGATATAGATAATATATCTGAGATAATTAAATAATGTTTATACATTATCTAACATATTTAGATAACATATTTATATATTTAGTTGTATATCTCCAATCATTAAAGCATGTAGATAATTTATCTATGATTTTGAATATGATTTTTTAGTGACAAAATTCTTCGAACAAAATCGAAACAAAAATATCAACAATTTCTGGAAGAGCAACAGCGGCGAAATGAACGCAATCGCCAGTTGGTAGAGATGTTGGAACGCATCGAACAACAGACGGCCGCTATGAATGCTCGGAGTGAAAGGTTGAAGATGATGAAGGTATAGATAATTTTTTTTTTCAATTAAATTATTTTCAATAAAATCTGGAATTATTTCTTACAGCTCCAATATGAAATGTATTTTGCCAAATTGGTGCATTCCCAGACACGGCGATGTTTGCAGACATCGGTTATGGCCACACCACCGCCAGCCATGGTAACGCCTTCTGTCATCGCTTCAGTAACTGGTGGTGGTGGTCCTGTAATGCCGCCAAGAATCATGACAAATATTCCAAATGCTTCCCCTATGGATGGTGGTGGCGGGGTATACCCCAAATTGTATGAGGAACCCCTTGGAATGCCATCTAATTACCCGAGATATGAAATGGGCCGCTCAGTAGATAATTTATCTGAATCACCGCTAATGGGAATGTCCAATTCGGAATACACTTTAAATACGTCATCCTTTCGAAGTGATGATCGAGGTGGAGATTTGCCGCCAAAGCCTTATTCCACCCCCATTCCGGATAGGTATCAGGAGAATATTGTGGCAATGCAAAGAGGTCACGATGTTAGGCCTCCAATTACACCCAAGGGATATGAATTGAAAGCTTCCAATGAGTCGGATGTTTTAAAGGCAAAGGCAGCTTCACAAGTTGCGGATTATAATTTGCCAGTAACTTCGGCGCCATTATCTTCCACAAGGGATCCAAATATTGTGAGAATTCGACCTGAGGAAAATATCGAACCCGTGGCTAATTTCCAAAACAATGGAAATAAAATTGCCCCGCCGAAAATCAATGGTGAGGATGGTAGGGAAGAGAATGGAAATATCACTCAAAATCCAGTTGAACCCAGAAGGGAAGCTCCGGGCCAAGTTCAAAGGGAGGAAACTAGTGGAGGGATTCAAAAAATTACATGTGAGTCGCCTGTTTCGGAAACTCCATTAAATTTGAAGGAACCTTCCAAACCCTTTAATGGTTCAGGAAATCCCGAAAATTCTCAGGCCTTATATCCCGAAGAAAAACCAATTCTAGAGGCTCCAGGAGAGCAAGAAATCCTTCAAGAAGTTAAAGCAAACGATTCGGATTTCAAAATGCCTGAAGTCTCAGTGGGCAAAACCCCTGTGTCCATTGAAAATATTGAAAATGCCATTTACGGCGAATTGGTAAATTCTTCGGAAGAGACAGAAAATATGCAGCCCATCGAAATGGCCACAGTACCCTCAACACTTCTAGAAAATTTAGTAACCCAGGCCGCACCAACAAATTCCGGAGAGATTATCGAACAAAATGAACAACCTCCAAAGGATGCGGAACCAACTGCAAATAATGAAAATTTCGAACAAGTTGAAAATTCCGGTCAAATCCAAAATGAAACTCAGGAGAATGAAAACTATGACTACAACACCTCTCCTAACCACCTTCCATCGGAGGAAGCTAACAATGATGCTACCGGCTATGCAGGTTATGAAACAAATGCCCTTGCCGAAGAAACCCCCTCCATGGAACAACAACAACAGGAATATGATTACAGTCAATATGATCCTAGCCAGTATAACTATCCTGGATATATTTATGATGAGACGACAGGAGAATATAAACCCGATCCGAATGCCAGTACCGAACAATATCAGCAAGATGCGCAATATGCGGAGAATTATGATCAACAACAATATCAGCAGCAGCAGGATGGTTATGACTACAATCAGGTGGCATATGAGGAGCAACAGGAAGTAACACCCCCCGACAATTCGGAAGGTGGAGTTACTGGAGAGGTCTATGGGAATTATGATAACACACAACAAGAACAAATAGAAGCAACAGTAGATAGCAACCTCAATGAAAAACCAACAAAAGACAGCGAGGCCATCCAAGATACCCCAGCAGATGTCACCGAACCGCCGGCGCCGTCGACCTCAAAACCTAAACCCACATCAATTTTGGCATCGGGAGATAAAAAAGATGGTTCGAAAAATAAGAAACGTGTAAATTTTGTCGACAGCAGTGAAACCGATGACAGTTCCATGGTTGCAGCGGGACAAGCAAAATCTGCAGCGGGAGCTCCCAAGACGCCAGCTAGTGGTAATGAAAGTGATTTCGATTTTTCATCAAACAGTGATGCTGCGGTTCCAGAAGGAAAATAAATTCCAAAAAGATGTTATTTTTTTCCAGTCAGGGTGGCGGTTAAATTTTTTGCACATGGCTGTATACTTCTATATGTTACCTAAATGCTTATAAGGAATTTAAAAAATAAAGTAAAAAAATATTGAAAAATAATATAGCCTTGAAAAAAAACTTTTTCCTGGGAAATTATTTTTTAAAAAATAGTTGTCAAAAAATATTTTTTAAAAAATCCACGCCTTAGATCCCAAATGTTACTCTTTAGAAGACCACATCAACAGTTGTCTCAAATTTTTTTTAGAAATTGTAACCCTTTGCTTATGCCGACATTCACGCACATACATACACCTGTGCCGCCTATTTATAAATGCAGCCAGTTGATCACTTGATTAAAAATTAACACTGCATTAGCATACCCTCATAGCTACGTTAACCTTATTTTTTAATCCAACTGCACTAAAACACCAAATCCCATGATCTTCCATTAATTGGGTCAAGGGTACAGCTCTTTCATTACTTACATTTTTTACTTTGCTTTTCCACTTCACCCTTTAGCTTTTGATATTTTTCCGTGCGATAGACTAGAACCCATGTAAGACCTACAAAATCATCACGAGAAAACTCGCATTAATTTAAATGAAAATTATATTGTATCGTATATAATTTACCTTCACCCAAAAACGCTGTACAAATTGAAATAAACACAATTAAAATTGTATCGCCCCACATTGTTTTAATAATTTTTATTTAATTAATTAATAAATTCCAATAAATTCGTTTGGCTCAGCAGCAAAAAAAGAGAAATAATGAAAATAATGAAAAGGGCAACGTCAGAGAACGTAGATACTAGGGATTTGTAAGTCGATTATTGACTAATCGATAAGTCGGCTTTTGAGTGAAACTGTAAAGCCCTATTAAATAAAAAAGAGAAATAACCGGTTAGAATGAACTTGGCAGCACTGTAGAGACGTTGTGTGAAGGAATTTGAAGTGTTGCATTTTTTATTAATTTAAATGGTCTTGAAAGCAAAGAATTTAAATAAAAAGGGAGTACTACTGTCCATATAACTGCATTGTAGGCAGCATAGCAGTAAATAATAAAATAAGCGGGGTTTTACACTGTTGGTGATTGGTATTGGTCATGAGCGTTTCTTTTTTTTCTATTAAAAAAAGCCCTTAAGTCGGAACAGTCGCGGAGAAATTCACCTATCGAAAACCGACTACATTATCTAACCTTTTACAGATGCGATTTTGTCTACGTTTCAGGTTTACTATTGGCCTGTTCCCGCCAGGGATAACGCCCCTCAACTCATCAACTGAGAGGACTCAACTTGATTGGGAGAAGTCACCAAGATAGCTACTTTATTTGTCACTGTAGTGCTAATCACAGTAGTTTCCATGATGACTTTCTCGTCGGTCAAGGATGAATAGTCCTAGAGTTGATTCGGGATGCTCTCCTGACTAAGGCGAAAGGAGTCGGTTTCCTCTATAATGTTGAGAAGATCCGTCTAACTCTCCAGGCATTCGTTCACGTCGCCGAGAGTCACGGGGGTTGAGGCAAAACAACGGTCCAGTGAAATAGAGTGGGTCGTCAAGATTTGATAGGGTTGATTGAAATCAGACATTGTAGGGTTCGAGACTGAGGGTGCCGCACCAGCATTAGTCGAAAAATGTCGTATATTATTATAAGAATTTTCTAATCAATAATTTAGGAGAATTATTCTTAAATTCTCAATGTTGGTACGGAAATCTGGTCCCTTTTTACGTAAATTTTTTGTTACCACAAATTTTTTTTCGAACTCCAACAACACTGATCTGACCGAAGATGACCTATCATCCGACACATTATGCAGAACCATTCTTGTTTCTTATCTATCGATGGATATTTTAGGAGAATTCAGTTTAAATGTTCAATTTTGGTCAGAAAATCTGATTTTGGTCCATTTTTACGTACATTTTGATACAGCAATTTTTTTTCGAACGGCAGCACTGATATAAGGGAAGATGACCTGTCATCTGGCACTTTATGGGGAACCATTCCCGTTTTGTATCTATCGATGGATATAATGCCTCTTCTCTATCGAAAGCACCGATACAGACATGGCAGTTACTGTATTGGTATTGTGGTCCTGCAAAAATCTACAACTTTTACCATTTTTTAACATATGTTTACTAGACAACTGTTCCAATATCTCTTTCAAACAAAAAAATCGATTTTTCAATTAATCGACACAATCGATCTATGTAACCCTGGCTAATTGGCATTCATTAGAGTGGGGCAATCTAGTTCACGTAGCAGATCGATCTTTCTCGTTCCTTTATTAAAAATGAACTAGTTCCTTAATGTAGTTCCTTTGCTCCACATATAGTTCCTTTATTCCATACAGTCCTTTGCTCTTTATAGCTCCTTTACTCTATACAGTTCCTTTCATGGGGTGAATAACAAAAAAGCAACTATGCACGTGCGGCCTCTTCTGCCAAAAATAAATATACACACCAAGTGTTTGTGTTTATTTGACATTTTTTTTTCAACACAAAACTAAAAACGCGAAAAATGTATGAAAGGTTATGATTTCTTCCCAAAATCCAATAGGGAAAACCATAAAATGGTTGTTTCATCCATAACAAAGTAATTACTTCCAGAAGAACGTGTTAAAAACTTTATTTTCATTTTATTAAATTTGAATATATTTCAATTTATTTTGAATTTATTTGACATTGTATTGTATTCAAAACAATACACACACATACACAAAATATGTATTTTGATTTGATGGAACAAGCCACCTTGAGAAAAAAAATGTAAGTCCTGATTTATATTAGGCGAGTTTACTTGCGGCAATTTTTATCGTTCTCTTTTGAACTTGCTCCATGCGTCTATACAAGGCAATTCGGTTTCCAAAAAAAATTTTATTTGTTGTTTTTTTCACATTTAAATATATATAAAATGTCAACAAATACGAAATACACAAAACGAATTGCCAGAAAATTGTCGGTACGAGCAATTTTTTTCCATTTCTATTCCCCTTGCCCCTCTCTCCTACAAACAAAGACTTGCCGCAAGTAAACTCGCCTAATCTAAATCAAGACTAATCAGTTTATAGTTCCTTTGCTTCCAATAGTTCCTTTGATCCATATAGTTCCTTTACTCCTTACAGCTCCTTTGCTCTTTATAGTTCCTTTGCTCCATACAGTTCCTTTGCTTCAAATAGTTCAAAAAAGGAATTAGATCAGAAAAAGGAACTATATTAATTAAAGAGCTGGAACTAGTTCCGATCGTTCCTTTCTCGGAATAGTTCCAATGAACTAGTTCGTTCCGGAACTACTCAACTCTAGCATTCATTGCAATTGTCAAAACAAAGAAGGACGAAGAAAACGACGACCAACTACTACAACAATTTACCACTGTTCTATTGCCTTTGCCAACCAGCCAGCGCTAATTTTCGTCTTTGGGAATGAGAAGTAGCAATCCTATCTACTCCACAGCCAACTACACCGATGTACAACTCAAGGAACAGGGCAATTGTCTTTTTGCGGCACGCAAGTACGATGATGCCATCAAGTGTTATACCAAGGCAATTATTAAAAATCCTGATGTTGCAACATATTTCACCAATCGTGCCCTGTGCTATCTGAAACTGAAGCGATGGGATCTATCTTGTCAGGACTGTCGACGAGCACTGGATATCGAACCGAATATGTTGAAGGCCCATTTCTTTGCCGGCCAATCGTTAATGGAAATGGAATTGTACGATGAGGCAATAACACACTTGCAACGAGCCTATGATTTGTCCAAAGAATTGAAACAAAATTTCGGAGACGATATAACATCGCAGTTGCGGCTGGCACGCAAAAAACGTTGGCGTGCCCTGGAAGAGAAACAGATATCGAGGGAACTTGAGTTGCAGTCCTATGTAAATCGTTTGATCAAAGCGGATATGGATAAACGTTTGGCCAAATTGTCTTTGGAGGAAGTGGAGCAGGAGTCATCGCAACAGCAGAGGGATACGAATGATGATGATCTAAAATTAAAAGAAAAGCAGCAAGAAATTGAACAAAAATGTGATGACTACATTAAAGAGGTAAATAATCTATTTGCCAAGGTTGATGAACGGCGCCGAGAACGTGATGTACCCGACTACTTGTGTGGCAAAATAAGTTTCGAAATTTTAACCGATCCCGTAATAACACCATCCGGCATAACCTATGAACGTAAAGATATTGAGGAACATTTACAAAGGGTTGGTCACTTCGATCCGGTGACACGTGTTGAATTGACGCAGGAACAGTTGATACCCAATTATGCTATGAAAGAGGTGGTCGAAGCATTTATAGCGGAAAATGAATGGGCTTTGGATTATTAGTAGTAGTAAGTTGTGTGATGGCGTGTGTGGGTGTTTGCGCTGACTGCCGCCGAATATGTTAAGAATTGTATTTTTTTCCTTCCCTCCCACAAAGATTAAACTACTTATTAAAACGGATACTTGAAAATTTGGCCAAATAGTTCTAACCTATGTTATGACGAACATGTAAACGAGGTTTTCTATAAATTGATCGGGATTTTTTCGTTTGTAATTTTTGAGGATCATACTGAAAGAAGGATTGCATTAATCGATTTTAAGTCGGCTGCAATTCTGTGCTGATTAGCTTCCCCGCAACTCTCTCATTTATAGTCTGTTCCCGTATTCCAAGAATCATCTACTTGTTAAAAAGCAGTAAAAAAAACCTCCAGTAGTTGAACGGATCAATACTTGTGACAATTAAATACATTTTTCCAGAACCTGAATAGGTTCTATTTACTCCAAGAATCTACAAATTTTTACTGTTTTTAAAAATTGTTTTTAATTTTCCGCTTATAATTTTTTTTATTTTTTTTTTGAAAATTGATGCTATTTTTTTGAGTACAGGAACAGATCTAATTTTATAATTTTATTTGTGCCAATTCTTCGTTTATATTTTCTCTCAACATAACGTAAGCACTCAATCGAAATTTCTCCTCTTCAATTTATTTTCAAAAGACTGCATAATTTTATTTAAATTTGCCTAGTGTAAATCACCCCTTACAATGGGCAATTTCATTTGTGATAATTCTCTGTTTGTTGTGAGAGGGACATTCACATTGTTTTTTAATACACCCATCTCACAACAACAACAAAATAACAGTAATGCTAGCAATGCAAACAAATCATGATTACTCTACACGAATTCCCCGTTAGTAGGTGGCAGAGATTTGTCACTCTCTTCTCATACAATCAGCTGTCATTAGAGAATTGCGGTAATTACAATTGTCCAATCATGATTTTCTTGCATTAGGCAATTCCCCGTTAATGGGTCAGAGAGTTGTCATTCGCCTTATCTCTCTCAGCAATTGTCTAATTGTCACAATTAGACATGAATAACTTGAAAGGGGGGCAGACAATCTTATTTGACTCAAATCACTGTTTTATGTGAGAGAGATGTATAACTAAGGAGATAATTATAAATCTCTCTAATAAACTAGAAAAGCAACCAACAGAATAACGGTAATTAGACATGCACGAAAGGTGGGCCTCTAATTTGTCTCATATCAGAGACTTATCACTCTCTCTCTCTCTCCCCTCATACACTCACATCTCAGCATCAAATTGGCGGAAAGCAAACAGTAACAAAAAAGCGGCAATTTTTTAAATTACCTTATCGTCGGGCAAATCAAGACTTGTTTAAAAAAATCGTTAATTTTCTTTGGTTGGAAAAAAAGAAAAACTTTGTTAAAATCTAGGATAATTATATATACATACATATATAGAAATAATAAGAAGAAGACTTAATAAAGAAATGTGGTTTAAAATGAACAAATACAATAAGGTGTGATAACAAATTGTATTAAAAAATAAATTATTTCCCCTATTTTTTTCGTTAACTAATAAATTTATGAGAAATAAAAAAACACTTCATAATAAAAAAATTAAAAAAAAAAAATATTTTTATTATCTGCAACACAAAAGGGTTAAAAGTGGAAAAACCCGATTACGTTTTCAAAACAAAAATATAAAAAAGAAGAGTTTTAATAGAAACTATTATAATGTTTATGGGAGTATTTTTAATTATTTAATAAAAACCGGTTCCAAACAAACCCGGGTTACGTTTTGAAGAAAAAAATATTAAAGCCGGGGTTTCGATGAAAAATCCGAATAACCGGGTTTATTTTTGAAAATTGCTAAAGACGGCGCCACATCATCAAATCCGAATAAACGATTTTATTCACCAAGATTTTCTTCTGATTAAAAATTGGTTCCACATTAGTATTGAACCGGTTCAAAATTCCGAATATGCGCGTTTTGTTGCACCATTTTTTTAAGATTCTATTAAAATTTTATTCACTAATATTTTCTCCTGATTAAAAATCGGTTACACATTAGTATAGAACTGGTTCAAAAATCCGAATAACCGGGTTTTGTTGAATCTTTTTTTTTTTTTTTTTTTTTTTTGAGATTCTATTAAAATATTCGAATGGATATTTACCACATTACCAAACGGTTCCACCTAATCTTGTACCCGGTTCAAATAATTCGGATAACCAGGTTTTTTGAATTTTTTTCTATTATATCGTCCGTTTTAAAAATATACAACTTTTAATAAAATCGTCAGCGTTTAGTCGATTATTTTCAGATTAAACATCGGTTCCACTTTGGTTTTGAACCGGTTCAAAAATCCAAATAACCGGTTTGTTGAACCGCTATTATTTAAAATATTATTAAAATAAACAAGTATTTTTAGCTATTTAATACAAATCCGATATCACCTTTGTTTTGAAACGGTTCCAAAAAATTCCGGATAACCGGGTTTGTCGAAACACATTAAAAAAGAGTAAAAAGACATTAAAAAAAGAGTATGGTTTTTTTAAAAAAAAATCCGGTATTTTTTTATTGAAAACCCGGTTCCATATTGGTTGGAACCGGTTAAAAACCGAATAACCGGATTTGTTTACGAAAAAAATGTATAATTATATATTTTTTATAGAATCATTAATAACAAATATTAAATCGATTCTACATAGCTTGTGGTCAATTTCACAATACTGGTTCAAAATACAAAAAAACCGGTTTTATTGAAAACAAAATTTGAAAGAGAAAAAAAAAATGAAAATAAATTTAAACTGGAACATAAATAAAAAATATTTTCTAGTTTCTTATTTTTTTATTAAAAACCCGGTTCCACATTAGTTTGAACCGGTTAAAACCCCGAAAACCGGTTATTCGGTTTTTAGCCGGTTTACGAAAAAAATATAATTATATTGTTATAGAATCATTAATACCAAATATTAAATCGATTATACATAGGTTATGGTCCATACGGGTTCGAAAAAAACCGAATAACCGGTTTCGTTTCGAAAAAAATAACTAAAAATTTCCCTTCCCTTTGGTGCGTCTAAAAATTTTTTTATTCGATTTTATATGGGTTATGGCCAATTTTACAATACGGGTTCAAAATTCAAAAAACCCGGTTTCATTTTAAAAACAAAATTTAAAAGAAAACTATTTTTTAAATAAAATTTAAGCTGGTATATGTCAGAACTATTTTTTTCCAAAAAAAAAAATAAAATTCGGTTCCACATCGACCTGAACCGGATCGATAAAAACCGAATAACCGGTTTCGTTTTGAAAAAAAATTAAATTTCCCTTTATAGACACACTAGATTTTATATTTATTTAAACAATATTGTATTCGATTTTATATAGGTTATGGTCGGGTTTAAAAATCAAAATTTGGAAAAAAACTAACTTCCCCTTTTTTTTTATTTTTTTTTTCGAGATCATAAAAAAATTAGTAGTAAAAACCAAAAACTTCTTTTTTTAAAAAGACACATTTTTTTATTCTTAACTTGTTTTTGTTTCTGTTTTACATGATTAGTCTTTTTACATAGATTTGTATTATTTTTATTTATTTTTTTTTTTAATTTTGTTTTAAGTGTGTGTGGGGGATGATAAATTGTGTTTTTGTTTTTATATATATTTTTTAATTTTTTTTTTAAATTTTGGAAATTTTTTATTTTTATTAAAAATAAAAAAATATAACGTGAATATTTCAACATTCAAAAAACTCTACATTGGCATACTATATTATATATATACTTTGTTTTTTTTATATCATACTTATCAAATAAATTTTAAATTTTATTTTTCTCTTTTTTTGTAATTATGTATGGTGTGTGTGTGTTGGTTTGTTTTCTGCTTAAGAAGAGTTGTTTGTTTTTGCAATTTTTTTTTTGTGTTTTTTGTAAATTTTAAGAAATTTGTTTTTGTTGTTTTTGCATTTTTTGTTTTTAGAAAAACTCCTTATCATTGTTGTGTTCATCATCATTATCATCGATATCCTCTAGACAATATGGTGACGACCGGTACTGTTGTCAGTCGGAGTCATTGATGGTTTTCTTGCGCTTTTTAGCTTGGGTGATTTTTTGCTTGGACCAGTCCTCCTAAGGAAAAAAAATAGGAAAAAAATTAAAAAAAATAAATAATTTTTTTTTAATTTCCCTACCTCACTTGAATCCTCATCCGAAGTGAATACCGTTTTGACGGGATCTGAATTTTTCTTATTATTCGCACTTGAACTGCTGGTATCCTTTTTCGATGTGGGCTGTTTGCGACCTCGTCCACTGCCACCGCGACGACCCACAGCTGTTGTCTCATCCTCGGCAGCCAAAGAGAATAGATCGCTATATTGTTTCTAAAACAAGAGAAGACAATTTAATAAGTTTTTATTAAAGTGAATTCAAACCGGGCATCCTCTTACCTTTGTGCTCTCTGTACTATGTGTATAGGCGGTTTGTAACGCCCTTTGCATGGTATCATGTACATATAAACCGGTGCCAGTACCATGACGGCAACTTCTTCGATAATGCTCTAAATGACTTAATACCTAGAAAAGAAGAAGAAAATAAACAAATTAATTTTTTTTTTAATTTTATGGAACCCACCTGATCGGCTGACGGTGTACTATTCAGTGCTGAACTACCCTTAAGCGGCCTTTTTCTTTTGTTCGGCGACGATGAGGGGTATTTTGAGGTTAACAGTGATGCAATGATTTCCGATAGTTTTTCTTCGCTGCGTTGACACCAAAATCTAGAATAAAAATATAAATAAATAAATAAAAAAATATTTCAAAAAATCCCAAATTGAAATAAAAAATTCGAGTACTTTTTTGTTTTTAATAACGGAATCGGGTTTATGAACCGGTTTTTAACTTATATAGAACAGGAATTTTATTTATAATATTCAATTTTTTAAAATTCGACAATTATTTTGTAATTCCACATTTTAAAAATGGAACCGGGTTTCCGGTTTTTTTTTTGAACCGGTTAGTATCTTTGACAAGACGGGTTTTGTAAAAATTATTTAACAAACAATAATTAATTTAAAATAATTCTTCCTTACTTATAGCTTGTATTCGGTTATTAGGATTTTTTTGAACCGATTAATTTATTGTTTTTTAAATCGATTTTTTTTTAAATTCAAAATTGTTAAAATTTTGTTTTTTGAACCGGTTATAACCTTACATGATGCAATAAAAAATTAGTTATTAACAAATTTCAAAAACGAATCCGGTTATTTATATTTTTGAACCGGTTTAAAGAGACCTTTTTAATCAGTTACACGATTTTTCTGAACCGGTTACCCAGTTTTTAATCTGTTTTTAAACATATTACTCGTTTTTTTAAAACGAATAATCGGTTTTAAAACCAAATACTTCGTTTTTTAAGCCAATTACTCGGATTTTTAAACCGATCTTAATATTTTTGAATCGGTTTAGAAGGATTGCTCGATTTTTAAATCGGTTACCCGGTTGTTTGAACCAATTACTCGGTTTTTTAAACCGATTACACGGGGTTTTAACTCGATTACTAGTTTTTTAACCAAATACACGGTTTATTAACCGAATTCTTGATTTTTAAGCGGATTACTGGGTTTTTTAATGAGATTACCCGAGATATGAAACCGATTATCGAGTTTTTAAACCGAAATACTTATTTTTCACACCGATTACTCGATTTATTGAACCGATTTTATCCGATTACTCATTTTTTTTAACCGAATACTAAAAACCAATACTTTGTTTTTAAAACGATTGAGACGTGTTACTCGATATTTAAACCGGTTACTCGGTTGTTTGAATATTTTTGAATCGGTTTAGACGGATTACACGGTTGTTTGAACCAGTTACTCGGCTTTTTAAACCAATTAACTGGGGGTTTAAAACGATTACTCGTTTTTTAACTGGTTATTAAAAACGATTACTCGGTTTTTAAATCGATTACCAGGTTTTTAAGAAAGTTAACTTTATTGTTACTCGGGGTTTTAAACCGATTACTCGTTTATTAAACCGAATACTCGGTTTTTTAAACCAATTACTCGGGTTTTTAAACAGATTACTCGACTTTTTAAAACGATTACCCGTTTTTTAACCAATTTTAAGGAAGAAAAATTATTTTTTTCCGCCTTAAAGTCCGCAGCAATATATTTCATTGAAATTTTGACCCACTTCGAATTCGCATTGAACCAATTTGTCAAAAAAATATTTTTTTTAATTGTTACCATCATCAAGATGGAGTTAAAATCAATTTCGGGGCTAACATGCCGTTCCGAAATATTGAGGTAAAGATTTTCGAAGTACCTTTGCCTAACGTAATTCTCCAGATTTTTTTAATCTAAAGAAAATCCCCTCTTACCTCAAAGCCGATGTCACAAAGGGATCCCCTCTTGATTTTGTTTCCCGACTCAATAGTAAACGTATTAGCTCATTTGTGGGTTCTTCACTTTTCAGCAGTAACAGTAGATAGCCCAAAGCTTCCGGATGATTGGCAGATTCTAATTCAGGTAAAATATCCTAAAATAAAGAAAAATAAATTAACAACTCCTCAAAACCCCAAAAAATAAAAACTGCATTCCATGCTCACTTGCAGACATTTCAGAGGCACATCATGAGCCTGTACCAATTGCCATAGGCACAATTGTTCGAAAGTCTCATAGCCCAGACTATCACGTATGCACTCAATGAGGCCATCTGCCTTGAATAACGTCAGTTTACCCTGGGCCACATAATACATAAGGTCCCTCAGATTGCGAGCATCTATACACCTCAAGGTTATGCGCAACAGATCACTATTATTGATGGCTATGGATTTAAATTCACGATAAATATCCGGTAATAGCCATAGATAGATGTTTGTGTTTTCCTTTTCCAGCAGATCCAAATCTCGCGCCAAACAATCGTCAATTTTCTCATCCACTGCATCGCATATCATACGATAGATATTCGTCTTGAACTGAGCCGATTGTTGGGCATTTTTACGCGTCTGTAATTTCACGTGCACCTTCATAAAGTACAACAACAGAAAACCGGTTTCTGGTATACGTGTGCAAATCTCCGTCAACAGCGACTGGAACGGTTTCTTACTCTTATCCTCGTTCTCATAGAGAAATCGAAATAGTCCAAATATCGGATAGCTGATACTTTTCGCTAAATTCTTTTCGTCGGTCTTGCTGTCGGGAAAGATATTTTGCTGTGGTAGAGTTTCGCGTAGAATTAAATGCGTATTCGAGATCACATATTGGAGCTGTGCATCGTCTAAAGCTGAAGCGGGTAGTGAGCGAAAATCTTCAAGAAACGCTTCCCAGGTAAATGAATTGCGTTTGGTAACGAACGTTTCGAATGTATCACTTATCGAGGCGGGAAGATCGACTTTTTCCGGTTTGTCGGGTTTCTCTTTTAAGCGGACCTTCGAGAGGGGCAGATCATCGTCATCATCGGTGTTCTCTTCATTTTTAATATCTTTGATATCTTCATCATCTTCGCTGAAGGCCGCTTCGGTTTCTACGTCGTTATTTTCGGGGGGTATAATTGAGAGTTTGTTGTCTTCGTCGGCCATGGATGTTAGCATAGGTGATGGTGCGATGCCTGTTACAGCAATGCCGCCGGTAGATATGATACCACCACCTCCTCCGCCTCCACTGTCTATTGCATGTGAGTGTTCAAGCATCATATCGCCTGCATTCGTCGTCGTCGTGGCCGTCATATGAGGCTGATAGTGATTTTGCATGGTGTGTTGCAGGTCATGTTGCGTCTGTTGTTGTTGCTGATTGGCAGCAGGACCACCAAACATTATGGCACCCTGATGCAAAGAACGCTGATCGGCTTCTTTGATGAAAACCGGTGACTGTATAACAGATGAGGCCCCCGGATACATGGGTGGTCCCACATTTCCCGTGGGTGCTGCTGGCGATACAAATTCACGGAAATTCTCCCGTATCAGCATACGCAGCTCACGATCCAATTTGGGGGATTCAAACAAAGGTTGGATATTTGGAATGACCTGCAACAAAAATTAAAGAGTGAAATATTAAAAATATATATATTTGGAGGGTTCCTAGGCTCACCTGTTTTTCTAGAATTTTATTCAGCGAATTGTACACACCCATGCGAATTTTATCCTCATGTTTCAAACAGAAATTCTTCATAATGCGACACAGGAAATCCAACAGAGTACTACTCACACTTGGATGGTTGCGGATCGAATGATACATTACCAAAATACCCGGTTCAATATTCATGATGTTATCCTTTTGCGGATCGAAAAATAACCAATCATAGAATAGAGATAGCTTGGCATTGGCCGAGGCTATGGTATTTGTACAAGAGGATATTAGCCAACCGATAATGGCCCATCGTGGTATAATATCCGAACATAACATATCATTTGACGGATGGATGACATTTATGATGAAACGTATTAGATCGGAACGCAGCGAATGTGATTCGGGTGTGGCAAAATATTTATCCTGAAACCAATCTTGATAACGTTTTTGATTACCAAATTTCACCGAGGATGTTAGGAAGTGGAGTTTACGTTCCACCTCGGGTGTTAGGCGGCATTGTAGATAACGGCGACTGGTTCGTATTTGCAGCAGCTGCCAAATACCATTGAATGTGGGATGGAGACTTTTGGGATTGTGTAAAATATCACGCCACAGCTGTTCGAATTCGGGTATGCGGGCAACGTTTTGCAGTAACCTGAAAGGAAAACACATTTTTTATTCGAAAAAAAAAATCAAAAATTCCACTCCCCCTTACCTCACAAAATCCCTGCCCAATGGTATGACATCCTGAAATCGATCACGTATCAATGATATAACAAACTTTACCTCCTTGTGACGTAATGGTGTCAGTGCCGGACTAGCATGATCTTCGATCAGCCGCACATAACTATAGACAACAGCTTGTACGAGAAATGATAGGGTCTCCAACCATGCCCGATACTCGATGAATATATCCAATAAACTTTCCACCAGAAAGAGATTTTTTGGTGTAACATCACCGCCACCGGCTTGCCGTAAGCAATTCCACAGGATATTCTCCACATTGAGGACCTTATGCTTCACCAATTCACGCAGTAACCATATCAATTGTCTCCGGGCAATTTCGGTTAGTTTATTATATTTCTCTGCCACGAGCATGGTTAAATTACTAACCACCATATTCATGCCATCACGGGCCACCAACGTTAGATCACGATAACTTTTTGGTGCCAACACAGGATCCGTGAGCATTATATACAAAAAGCCAATGGAAATCTCTTCATGTTGTTTCTCTTTGCACACCAGTTGGGATAACTTGTCATGCATATCCTTATCGCTGAGGCCATTGATTTGTTGCTGCAGGCTGATGTAGGCTCGTTCGAAGCGCTAAGGAAAACACAAAACAACAACAATTAAATAAGACATTAAAATCAAGTATTTACCCACCTCCTCCAATTCATCTTTAATATCAACGGCAGTGCTTTGGAATAATTTCGAAATGTATTGGATTTTTTGTGGTGTTTCCATTTGTTGCTGCTGCTGTTGTTGCATTATTTCACAATAAATCTCTCCTTAATATCAATACTCCGCATGCACAAATCTGTTCTGTTGTGATGACCACTCTCTGGCCAATTGGACAAATCTTAAATAAATCTTGCACTCCTTGCTTCCTTTCCTTTTGTTGTGTTTTGTGCGGCGCCCGCTGTCGAGCAGCAGCACCCAACCAATCATACGCAGCGCACACACACTCACACAAACACTTAGAGCACACACGTACAAACTACTCTCGCTCGCACACACTTGGGCCACCAACCAGCCAGCCAGTCAACCAACGAAATAGCTATGGAAGTGTGTTGTCCAATGTTTACATACACCTTTGGAATTAATTTTTCGGTTTTTGTTTGTCTAACTGTTAACTCTGCCAATAATAGAGCATGTTCCGGCAGATATAAAAATAAAAGAAAATTGAAATGTTTCCAGCTGTAAAAAGCGCTGCCTGCCTGTGCCTGTGCTTAAAAAAATCTTTTTTCTTTTTGGTAAAACAGTAAAAACTCCTCAAGTCTCTAGAGCTGGCAAACAATCAATGTCAGGCACACACACTATCGATAGTATCGTTATGGGGGCCTTTCCTTTTGACACACACTCACAATGATATCGATAGTACTTGGCATATCAATAGTACATATCGGTTATTTTTATTGTCACAATGACAGCAATAAATAATAAATGGGGCAAATTAAAAGCAGTAAACAAAAATCAAGGAGAATTTTTAAAAGATGTGAGCCCATAGAGCATGTCCGATCATGTCAATATGTTAATTATTGCAAGGAAAAATATAGTCTTCACAATTAAACAAACCGGTGAATATATTTAAAAAAACAAATATCGAGCAGACAGTGATTATCGATAGTTAACTCACAGATAGGGATATATAGGTCGACTTTTGTCTAAAGAAAGGTGATGTAGCTTTTTATGAATGAAAAAAAAAAATGAGTGTTCGTGGAAATAAGTAGAATTTTTTTTATTTTAAAGGGCTAAGCAGAATGCTCGCGTTGAGCCATCCGTTGCGTTATGTGTTATCGAAAATACAACAACCACAAGGAAACGATAACACAAACGCTCGAAGTCGTTGTGGGCTGCGCTTCGGAGTTAAATATATTTTAACTTTTTGCGTGCGTTAACGCGATAACAAAAAACGCTCAACGCGAACATTCAGTTTAGCCCTTAATTTACTAGGGTCGTATTTTAGGGCAAATATTATTATATATATTGGTTGTATAAATATTGGTTTGATAAGATATATACCAATCAATAAAAATTAAACGGTGAATATTAAAAAAAAAAAATTATGATCTAAATAGGGATACATAGGTCGATCTTTTTTATACAATATGAAAGGAATATTGTTGGCTATCATTTAATATTTGAATGCAACAAATTTGATCCATTAAGAGGTAACTTTAAATTCATCGAAGAATATAACAACTTAGCCAATATAGCCAGCATATAAAAATTTAAGCGGAGCTTTTAAAAAAATATGTCGAATAGTGCGATTATGGATATTGAAATCTGAAATCAAAAGACCCAAAAATTACTCTTTCCGGAACTTTAATTTATCTGTTCAAAATAATTCATATAAAAAAAATTAAATTTTTAGTCAATTTTCAGAAGTCAGTAAAAGTCGAAAATGGTAACTTTTAGAAACGCTTACGGGGTAAATGAATTGCGTTTCATAAAAAAATTTTTGAATATATCAATATTTGAGCCAGGAGGATAGATTTTTTTTCATTTAATTGGGTTTCTCTTTTAAGCGGACCTTGAATAGAGGCAAATTGTCATCGATGTTCTATTAATTTTTTATCTTTGATATCTTCATCATTTTCTCTAAAGGTCGTTTCGGTTTTATCGTAGTTATTTTCGGGGTATAATTAAAAAATACTCCCATCCATATATACGAATTTTAATAATTGTTATTGTTGAATAAAAATTGAATTGAAAAATGTTACGTCAGATGTAAATTCTTGGAATATAAAACGGCAATTACATTAGAACTTTTACTGGGTTAACGAAATCCGGTCCAATATAAACGTACTATAATTAAAACAATTCAGAGCTTTCTAAGAAACCTCGAAAAATGGTTGTTGAAAACTTGACACATTCGAATAAATTTTGAAAACAGTGAAAAATTGACAATGTCTAATAACTATTAAAAAATTGTTTTTATAAAAAAATTACGTAATCTAAAAAATCATTAAATATATTTTTTAAACATTGACGACATTAACAATTATTTAAAAACAAAATAATTGCGCCTTATAATAAACCCATGGTACAATTATAAAAGGTACCAGCAAATCCCAGCTGATTTGATTCCAACGTAATACTAGTGTCAATATGAATTTGAGAAATTATGTTTTTAAAAATCACCCAACAGGAAAATTGGGAACGCATACATTTTGAAATTGTTCAATTGTTCTTTATTAATGTGCTCCCGTACTCCCGTATTTACTCAATCTGCCTGCTGGGAAAGTTTGAGGAAGCAAATCATTCTTGAAGGAATAACTATATATTCCCAGCATTGTCATATGTGTTACACATATATATGGCAATGGCTCAATTAAAGGAAAGATGTGGAAGCGAAAAATATTTTTTTTTCAAATTTTGAGGATTCGAAAATATTTCATTTTCAAAATAAAAATAATTTGATGATAATTTGTTTGTTTACATTTTTCTGTCATGAGTTGACACTTGCAAAATGTGGTTGTTGTATCGTTTTTTGTACAACAACACTTGCTGTTACCTTTTATTATTTTACCATGTAATAAACCTTGAGCAAATAGTTTTTAAAAAATCCTGCCACATTATGTGAAAAATATTTTTTAAAGTATTTTTATAATTATTGCAAAATTTATTCTTAAATTGCTAATACAAAAAACACTTATGTATTTAAATAATAATTTATTAGTACAATTCTTTGAAACAACTACAAAATCGATTCAAATATCCTATTTCCTGCAAATAACTTCCAGAAAATCTAAAATTCATAGATATTTGTGGTTAATAAAGCAAGTCGATTATAGATTTTTAGATCCCTACATATATTAAAGAAAGAAGCCGTTCATTTGCCTGTGTTAATGGCGCCATATGTCAAACTACAATGAGGGAAAAGAACCGCGGCACTTGAACAAATAATGCAACGCCGTTCATATGCCGCCGCCATGTGTCAAGTGAAAACAGTCTCGCTATAAGGAATAAAATGCGGATATTTCTCGATAAAGTATAATAATAATGCCAATTTAAATAGGCAAATAGTGTACGAATGTTTTAAGAATATTCGTTTTATGCTCTCTTTATGTCTCCTTTGAAAATAAACCACATAATTCGTCTATTTGGTATGGGAACGCTTTTCAATATGGTTGTATGTTAAGGTTTTGTGCTTAGATTACCGATTACTTGGATATGCGGCGTTTGCCAAAACATATAAATACCTGTGGAAAGCTTGGTGTAATTTTTTGTGTGTGGTGGCAGTAGCAGATCTTTAATAAATTTTTAATTTAGAAAAACAAGTTTCAAAATGCCCTACGCCAATCAACCCTCTGTGACAATTACCGAATTGACTGATGACAATGTAAAGTTCGTGCTGGAAGATACCGAATTGAGTGTGGCGAATAGTTTGCGGCGCGTTTTTATTGCTGAGACACCAACATTGGCAATTGATTGGGTTCAACTGGAGGCAAATTCCACAGTTCTATCCGATGAATTCTTGGCGCATCGTATTGGCTTGATACCCCTCATATCCGATGAGGTTGTAGAACGTTTGCAATATACTCGTGATTGTATCTGCTTGGATTTCTGTCCCGAATGCAGTGTAGAATTCACATTGGATGTTAAGTGTACTGAAGATTCGACCAGACATGTTACTACGGCTGATTTAAAATCAAGTAATCCCAAGGTGCTGCCCGTCACCTCACGTCATCAAAACGATGAAGATAATGAATACGGCGAAAGTACTGATGAAATTTTAATTATTAAATTGCGCAAGGGTCAGGAGCTGAAATTGCGGGCCTATGCCAAAAAGGGTTTCGGTAAAGAACATGCCAAATGGAATCCCACAGCTGGTGTTTGTTTTGAATATGATCCGGACAATTCAATGCGTCACACTTTGTACCCCAAGCCGGATGAATGGCCCAAGAGTGAACATACCGAACTGGATGATGATCAATATGAGGCTCCATACAATTGGGAAGCGAAACCGAATAAATTTTTCTATAATGTGGAGTCATCGGGCGCATTGAAACCGGAAAATATTGTCATAATGGGTGTACAGGTGTTGAAAAACAAATTGTCCAATTTACAGACCCAGCTCAGTCATGAGACACAAAATGATGCTTTAGCTGTTTAATTTTTTTCTAACAATTTTTATTATTTTTATTTTGCCCTAAATAACATAGAAATATTAACAGAAAATTGTTTGTGTTTTATTTTTTAATCTTTAAACAGATTTTCAATGTTTATACCGGCAATTTTATTTTTCGAATCGCTTTTGCTATCTGGATTTGTGGTGCCACTTGCAGAGGTGGTGGCGGTGCTTGTTTTTGTTTCCCCAGCATCAGCCTTGGCCTGAGTGAATGATTCACTTAAGGTCTGTTTGCTGTCTTCTTCAAGACCTAGATCCATATCCTTGGCTTGCTGAGCATCTTGTCTCATTTGAGCCCTTTGTTCTTGCAATAGATCCAGAGCGGTTTCAAATATTTTCTCCTCATCCAAGGCACCTTGTGATTTCAAGCCTTGATAGATTTGTATAAATTGCTGTGATTGGGTTTTACGCTGGCGATCGAACATACTGACCATTTCGGCTTGCTTTTGGGACTTGTGGAATTTACTGTCAAATTGGGAGAGAAAAAAACAATTATGAAATGTTGGCTACAAGCCTAGTTTACATGAGCCATAGGGTTTAAGGCATTCATTTCTCTTGTGAATTAAAAATCTATCCTAAAAACCTGATCCTATGAACTAGTGGCGAATTTGGTTAAGAGAACAGAATCTCCTTATTAATATTCTCAACCAAATAACCGGGCTTTTGTCGAATATATTCCGTATGTCTCTTGTAAACTAAATATTTTATCGGTTATTTTGTTGTTGTTCTATTTTTACTTACGCCCTCACTTGATCTTCTTCATAAAATATATTGCGAATTGGTATTTGTGGTGCCGGGCGATCGAATCTTGGTTCCAATTTGGGTGGGAAGGCTGCATATACATCATACCATAGCGGCTTGTCTTCGGGTTTCATGGCACCAGAGCGCAGTAAACCAGAAACTCTTGAGAGAAATTTATATTATTAAAGTAATTATTTTAGTAGTTATTTTTGCCAAATACCTGGTGAATATGGTTCCAATTTTCTCTAATCTACTTTGGGCCATGTTAATACGAATTTATTTGTTAAATTTCCTTACAAATATTACGAAATAACCTTAATTTTCCACGGCCTTTTGGCTACAAACACAAAATCAGCTGTTTTCTCTCCCTCTCTCTTCTTTTGCTTCTATCGATATTATCGATTCTATAACAATAAAGCGATGATGTTTGATGTCAACACACTGTGAGTGCCGCTATGCTGTGAGTGGTGGAAGATGAAGAGTTCAGGAACAAACAAAGGAAAACAGCTGTTCTCTTTTTCATTCTCTCTCTTCGTTGTTATCGATAGCAAAACAGTGCTGATGTATGATAACAACACACTGTGAGTGCCGTTATGCGATAAGTGTAATAAGAAGAAGAGTGCATGTAAACAAAAGCACGTTGTGGTATTAGTACGCTGTGTGTGGAATTAATTTCATTTCTTTTGGTAAAATTTAAATTAAAAAATCTCAAGAAAATGGGAGCCTTAGCTGAAGTAAGTAGTGCACTTTATACTTATCATTAAACAAAGTAATTTATTGATATTTTTTGTCAAACATTAGGTTGCTGGTGATGAAAACAATGGCGAGGGTTCTCGCACCTTTGTCTTTCAAGATGAAGGCCACACATTGGGGAATGCTTTGAAGACCATCATTAGCCGTTATCCAGATGTTGACTTTTGTGGATATACCATACCTCATCCCACAGAGAATAAGTTGCATTTTCGTATACAATCTTCACAGGGTAGGGCCATAGATATTTTGAAGAGGGGCCTTGAAGATTTGGAGAAAATATGTGATCACACTATCGACACCTTTGAAAAGGAAGTTAAACAATTTAAGGTTCCAGTGGCGTAAATGAGATTTAAGTATGTCGTGTTTTTTCTGTGTCTTTTTTGGAAAATTTATTTTATAAATAAATAGGTTTATAAATTTAATATTAAGCTTAAACAACGGAACGTGTCTTTTTGGGATCCTGATTGGGTTTCCTCAGATGGTGATAGTTGGGCAGGACTTTTCGGAGAAAATCGATTTGTAAGGTTTGGTACTGTGAAAAGAGAGAGAGATCATGATTAGAAAATATTTAAAGATCAACAGGAAACAAAAAAGAATTGGTGTTAAAAATTAAACGTTTATAAAAAGGTATTTCATAAGAAATCATTTAAGGTCTTCTATACTACAAGAAGTCCTTAAGAATTTTTCTAAAAGGTCTTTTGGCGTCCCATTCGTATAATCATTTATAAAGCCCTTATTTACATCTGCCCTAGACATGATCTCCAACTTACCGCATATTTATCAATTGCCTCCCGCTGCTGACAATCACGACCATAGATCACAGTACTCTCGGGCAGCACTTGTTTACATTTTAAACTAACCGCAGCACCGACCACACAACCATTTGTAACCACCACTTCGGGGCCAACATAACTTTTACATTCGAATACATTTTTATCGCCGATTTTTTGAGCCTCTACCACGCAACCAACTTCGAAGACGTTATTTGAACCAATCACTAAAGGTGGGGCAGGTTCAAAGTTACCCGTTTCCTTTTGACGCTTCTGCTCGTCGCTCAAACGGTAGGCAATTGTTGCATATTCCTCAACAATACAATTTTCACCCAATATTATGGGTCCCGCTTCGGCCAATATTGAGGCACTGGGATGTATGACACATCCTTGGGAAATGGTGATGTCACCTCGTAGCGTACTGTCTTCACAGACTATGGATTTGTTCATTATTTTGACACTATAAGAAAATTATACGCTTTTAGTATGTTTTATTCATGTTTATTGGGTTAAACTTACTCATTATTATCCGCTGAAGGCATTTTGATGCTATATTGTGCTAAATTTGTATTATTTTCTTGCAAAAATTGCAATTTTCTTCGTTGTTTTTACTTTCCCTAGGAAAATGGTTCAATTGTACGATTCATTGAAAGGAGCCAAATGAACCAGTGACAACTGACTCATATATGTGAGACACAGAAGAGAATAGCGGAAAAAGAGAGCAAAACCCTATAAATTTGTATAATTTTTGTGTTTACGAATGAGTGTAAAGCATAAGGAAGAAGGAAAGGACAAGGAAAATCAGAAAAATCAGCTGTTAATATTAATATTTTTTTGGTTCAGTGATAGGCTAAACAACGATAAGAGTATGCGTGGTTTTATATTTGCCGGGATCGGGATCGGTGTTGAGAGTTTCTCTCTCTCTCAGTGGTAAATTGTGAATTGTGTTGGAAAACATTACCACAGGTAGAAACAAAAAAGTACGAAAATGTACCTTAAATTCTACTTCAAATGATAATAAATTATAATTATCGAGAAATATTGGCCAATATTTATACCAGTTATTTGCATAAATAACATATGTTATAATTTAAGCGTAAATGTATTCGCGAATAATAAAAAATCTAATTTTTGTTTTGGTACGTTTATGTCAATTCGTACCTTTTGTTTACAAAAAGTACGCTTGTTACAAAATTAAAAATAGCGCAACTCTAATTACTCTCTCGAGAGAGAGAAACTCTCAACACCGATCCCGATCCCGACAAATATAAAACCACTCTAACAAGAAATAATATCGATAAATCAGTTATCGAAATGTCAGTGTAGTCTACTGTAATTGAATGCAACACTAGAGAGAGAGAGAGAAAGAACAACTCTAGGCTCTAACGGTTGACAATTATTAATGTTTACATGAAACAAAAAGGTGGGAATAACGAATAAATGAAGAAAAAGCAACAATAATTAGTTATTGAGGGATAATTGACATTAATTCGCTTGAAATGTTATAATAATTTAATTATTAACGTATATAAATGCAAAATCTAATTCCAAATGTGTTGCTCACCCGCTTTTTGTCTCTCAGTGTTTGTCAAAAATGATCTACAACTGTTTAATTGAAACGGAAGCTAATTGATATTCAAGCCTTGTTTTAATAAAAAATGGATAGTGGGTTACTCGTGGAAATAAATATGCAAACCAGATTCTCCATAACCAGGTATATTTTGTTGTTGTTATTGTTTTTTTAATTAAATTTAAAGTGTTATCTTTCACATTAATTAAATTGATAGATGGCCAATTGGGCTGCAATTCATGCATATTGTATTGCTCCAAAGGCCAGTTTATTCAAGATTTGAGCAGGGATAATTGCTGCTGAAAGGATTTTAGTAACAAATAGGTAATTGTATATACATTTTGGGTTAATATTTTTTATGATGTGATTTATTTGCAGAATTAATTTTCATTATTGTTGGCTATATGGAAAGGAGCTAAAACCGTCCGCATGTCAAGCTTTTTAAGGACCTAGAGAACGCCCCGGTTTGAAATGTTGAATAATCGACTATATTTTGCTATTCCGCAACCAGTGGAATGACTTCAGGTGGGAACTTCCCAAATTTAGATTTTTTGTGCAGTTTGGACACATTTTTCAACCGAAATCGATGTAAATTTGTATATTGGATAGAAAATCGCCTTTACAAATATTGTTCAATCTTGACCAATGTTTTAGAGTAGAACGAATATAGCGGTACCCCCCAATATTCGGGATTTTGGGATATAACAAAAATTGCTCAATATTGGGCCATGTTTTGGACTAGGCCCCATTGGGGGAATTCAGTATATTTGGTTCATAGGTTTGTAACAGCCAAAAGAAACGATATAGATCCATGGTTCCTTTTGAGAATATGCATAGAATCGCTTTCTGAGTCGATTTATTCATTTTCGTCAGTCCATGTTAAATTGTATCCAAAGAACAGATTGCATTTATGATCCGATTTTAATGAAATTTAGTATTGGTCATTTATTTGGCCCAAGGACAAATCCTATTGAAATTTGTGAAAATCAGTTCAGATTTGAATATAGCTCTCATATATATTTTTGTTCGATTTTATGTACAAGGTGCACTAAACGCACAATATTTGTCTGATCAAGATGAAATTTGGAACACTCTACCGTATTGAGTATAGAATGATGTGAGCTAAGTTTCATAGTAATCGGTCCGATTTAATGTAAACGGTACATTGAAGCCTCTATATTTCTTTCGATTTGCGCGAATTTTTGCATAGGGTACTCTATTGAGTATAGAGTGATGTATGCTAAATTTCATTGAAATCGGACCAGATTTAGGTATAGCTCCCATATATATTTTATCCGATTTGTCTGATTTTATGTAAATGGTACATTACAGCCTCTACATTTTTTTTAGATTTGCATGAATTTTGGCATAGAGTACTGTATTGAGTGTAGAATGATGTGAGCTAAGTTTCGTTGAAATCGTTTCAGATTTAGATATAGCTCCCACATATATTTCCATCCGATTTTATGTAAATGGTGCATTGAAGCCCCTATAATTATTTTATTTTGCTCATATTTTCAGAAAAAAGAAAGAACATAAAAAAGTGAGCGTGAGCAAATCGAGATGTACAGGAGTCAGAATGAAATCCGGAAATTTTACCATCCTCCTGTAGAGATGAAAATGGAAACCTGGTGACAAATACAGGTATCGTGTTGAGGATCTGTAAGGAACATTTTGAAAAGCTTACGGTATCAAATAGTGGCGGTTAAGAAGATACCCCAGAACCAATAAGAGATGACGGTATAAAGTGTATGCCACCTGGCCAAGATGAGGCCAGAGTAGCAATTAATCGGCTTAAGAACAATAAAGGAGCAGGTCGAACTATTCAAGACCGGTGGTCAGATACTGTTCAGGAGCATGTACCAGCTGATTAGTACAATTTAGCTAGAGGAATGCATGCCCAATGATGGGAACCTCAGCATCATGTGTCTTGCGTCTCCTTCCCATCGCATATAAAGTGCTATCCTGAGTGCTCTGTGAACGACAGAAGCCCGTGGTCAATATATAGATCTGAAGCATGGGTACTTATGCAAGTAGATGAGGCAGCTCTTGGAGTGTTTGTTTGAGTGTCCGAAAGATCTATGGGCCGATTTGACGGTGACGTTGACGGTGAATATCGCCGTCGAATGAACCATGACTTGTACCATCTATTCTTGGACATCGGCATTGTCAGACGTATCGAACTGTAGCGACTACATTGGCTAGATCATGTTGTGAGATTTTATAGCCCCACTCAAGAGGCATACAAAAGCGATTCAAGTGATGTTTTACGCATGAGGGAACGGCGACGAATCCGATGGAAAGATCAAGTAGATGACAACATCTCGGGAAATGGTCTTTGGAAATCTTTTTTTAAGCACGGCTAATGAAACAACCATTCTGCCACCAGACGTTTCGAACTGTAGCGACTACATTGGCTAGATCATATTGTGAGATTGGATAGCCCCACTAAAGAGTCATACAAAAGCGATTCAAGTGATGTTTCACGCATGAGGGAACGGCCACGAATCCGATGGAAAGATCAAGTAGATGCCAACATCTCGGGAAATGGTCTTTGGAAATCTTTTTTAAGCACGGCTAATGAAACAACTGTTCTGCCACAAGCCGGCTAAGGAGGTAAGTAAGGGTATACAAATTCATATTGAAATGTTTGTTTACGTTTCTAAGGCAGTTGTTATGTACCTGGAGCTCTGGGCATAGAATCCTGTCGATTGCCAGTAGTCGAGACCGGCTCACATAGTTTACATTCTTCAAACATTTCTTCCATTGGTGATTTGAATTTTTCATCTGGCTTCTATTCCCCCTTCAATAGCCTTCCACTCCCCCATATTGGTGTTGTTGTAATGTCAATTATTTGTTTGTTCGTTTCTCTTCGGATTTGATTTGTTTCTTTAGCTACTTCAGCTATGAAATTTCACATTTCATTCTCAAGTGCTATTCTATTGTGGTTGTAGTGTTTATTTTCTGTTCTCTGGTCTACAAAATTGAAATTTGAAAAAAAAGTGTTTGTATACTTTGTAGATGACATCTCAGGAACAAGGAACAGCTGCAAGGTCCTTCAAGCAGCCGGTATGCAAATACCAACTTCCTTGTTGAGGAAAAAGTAATTTTCTTGTTGTTTTTTTGTTTTCTGCTAAGTAGACAAATACCAATAAGAATTAGGATATCTGTATATCCTTATTGTGAAAATGAAGAGTGAATGAAATATTTCTATTATTTATTTGTGAGGTGGAGGAGCAGAAGGTGTATAAGGATTTGTGGTGAGGGTGGATTCTGTCACGCTTGTAGATTTGTGATTTAATAATCATTTGCAAATTGTCTTGGAGGCAAAGAGAAAGTCTTAAGTAAATCTCACATTTTGATTACGTTCGGAATTTAATAGCCTAAGGATATTTAAAAACAAGAAAATTGTTTGACAAGTTCGTAAAGGCAGCTTAAGTTCGAGCAGTGTGTGTGTGGCCGCAGGAGTAATATAATTTTTTTTAATTGGAACTTTTTCCTATAATTGAAATATTATTTGCAGGGTGGCAGAAGTTCGTGGGCGACAATTGAATCGAGAATAATTTGATAATACATTTGAATACAGGATTTTCTAATTAGAAGGTCTTATACGGGGGTATTACATTTGGTTATGGGAATGTTCTTGAGAAGTCGTTCCAACTTTTTTCAGTATCCGCTTTCGTGGTCTGATATTAAGGCGATAGATATGCGGGTCTATTAGAAAATGAGAATACTTTTCTGAAGATGGAGACCCATAATTACGTTTGTCAGACTTCGAAATATTCGGCGAATAAAATTCTATATCGAAATTGTTAGATTGCTGTTGTAGCAACTGAAATATAAGAATGGGAATTGTTAGGAAGTTTGCAACCTGCATCCATAAGGTAACCTTTTCGGTATTTTGAGAATTGTAGTTGGGAATATTGAAAATAATTGGCTTCAAATTGATATTTTGAATTGTCATTGTTGGAA